ACTTCCTCTGGTAAGCTACTCTTGTAGTGAAGGAGAACACAGGTGAGGGCAACCGAATTGTATTGAACGAAAATTACAGAGTTACTCAGTAAAAGGGGAAAACCATATCGTAAACGGTTAATTTGCAATTCTCATCATCAATCCATTGTCTGACAGTTCACTCACTATTCATGCGTTTCATACAGAGTCTATTGTGTTCCCACTCTTCCTTTCTTGATCTTCTTCCGTCTTCTGCTGCCAGACATTGCGTTGACTCTCGCGTCATATACTACTTATAAGTAGCGCGCACCGCAATATGAGCCAACATTTATACCGATCTTGATCATTTTCTGATTGGTTGTTTACACTTCCTCCGGTTAGCTACTCTAATCAATGTACATATTTCAAGGTCATGTTTGTTTAAATGTATTTATGTACAGGAAGTTATTCTACTTACAAATTGCCGATTCCGTTAGGTCTCTACGGAAAACTTTTCATAAAAATAGTAAAATGCATTTTACTGACCATTAAGAATATATTATTCACCAAAAAATTTACCTTGATTTGATTAAGTTTGCGCATTGTCTTAGTGTGGTAATAATAATAATAACAACAAGAGAATAAGTGAAATTGATTGCCTCTTAAATTGAGATGTTCCAATTTTGTGAAATAATTACATGTGAATTGATTGGAATTGCTAAATATGTTAAAAGGAGAAGAAGAAGAAATGATAATTATAGTAATAGTGGTGTTTGTATATTGAAAAATGTGAAAACAGAATAGTATATTTGTTGGGGATGTTAGATCCCCAAAATTCGCTTGATATATGCCTTATTTTGATTTTTACGTTTGCCAGCATGGGCTGATCAGTTTACCTTGAGATCTCAATTCCCACCAGCAAAATCCATGGCTTTGATTGGCTGCTGTGTATTTTTGTGTGCTATTTTCTTAACTGTTCCAAGGACGTTTCCATGATGTATAAATAAACGGGAGTAGTGTGCTTGATTGTATTGTGCTTGCTGGTGTTTGTAAAATATACTTTCCATGTTTATCAAGACTTCTGTTTTGCAGTTTGAGATTCAAAGTAGCCTATCTGGACTCTGGTAAAAGTCTCGTTCACGTTTATCGACTAAGGTAAACTCGTAATAGCTTCAAGCATACCTAGTGACGAACATAACAATATTTAATATTGTATCCAAAATCGGTGAAAAGCACAATATGAAAGGAGTTGAATTCAACCGCAGGATACAGTTTTGATTGGTAATTGTTGAAATACCTGTTAGGATATTCATCCAATATCTAAAAGAGAATTATTACTGGTCAATTCCTATTGGTTAATTCCTACTGGTCAATTTTATGGTCGTTCTAGATATCAATGTCACGTGCTCCAATGTTGTTTCTTATTGGTTGTCCTGACTATCAATGTCACTTCAAATGTTGTTTCCTATTGGTCGTCCAAACTGTCAATGTCACACACTTCGATACTGTTTACTATTCGACCGGAATGTATAAATATATGCATTATCTGTAACGTTTTATGACCAGGACCCGGTCCCGGATCCCTAGTCCGGTGTCCTGATTCTCTTCTGGATTCGGACCTCGTATTTTCTGGATGCTTGTAGAATACACGTTCTACTCCACATTCAAGTCTTCTTATTTTATTCAATGTGGTTAGGACACACGGATTAGAGTACCCTACTGTGTCGCCGGATCCTGGATCCTCGCTCTTGTGTTCCGACTAGGTAAACTCTTAATAGTTCAATCATATCAAAATGACGTGTTTACGTGCAGGCTTAACAGTACCATCCTGTGAGTGGATTGACTCTTTCCCTGCTCCTCACCAACGACACAAATCTGCAAAAATACACAAAGCTTCAGAGCTAAAGTCTGCTAGAACTCATTGACCTATGCTTAACAATGTATTTTCAATTCAACAACACAGTCTACAAACCAACGAAAGGAATACCAATGGGATCACCAATATCTGGACTTATTGCGGAAGCTAGAGGCGTCGATTTTACCAGTGATTAAACCGAAATGTGGGTTCGTTATGTAGACAACACATTTGTCATCATCAAAAGGAACTAGATGGACAACACCTACAATCTAATTAACAGCGTCTTTGATGACATAAAATTTACAATGAAAAAGGAATCAAACAACATTCTGGCATTCCTGGATGTATTAATCATCAGAACTGACATAGGAAAACTGGAGACTCAAGTATTTTGGAAGTAAACCCACACAGACCTGATTCTCGACTACGGTAGCAATAACCCAAGAAGTCACAAAATCAACTGCATACAAACTTTGTTCAAGAGAGCGAAGACAAACTGCAGCACACATGAAGCACTAAAAAACGACGAAAAAGCATTTGATGATTATCTTCCAAAAGAACGGCTATCCACGCAACTTCATCAGAAAAAATCAACCGAAGTCATCAACAGAAGCGAAATTAAGTGCAGGAACCAACAAACGAATCATTCTACCATATTTATAAAAGACATATTGGAAATTACACCACGATTACTGGGACTAGTTGGAATAGGTGTAGCACACAAACCAACAGAATCACTTCAATCAATCCTATGTAGACTAAAGGACAGAATGACAAATGAAGAAAAATCAAATATCATTTACAAAATAAATTGCTCAGATTGTGAAAAACACTACATAGGACAAAGTGGACGGCCTCTTCAGCTTCGTTTACGTGAACACCAATTAGCAGTCAAACGCCACGACAATTCTTCGCTTATATCAATACATACCGACAATTATGGACATACATTCGATTGGGACAATGTGAAAATACTGGATAGGGGGAGGACAAAGAACACTAGAGAATTTTTAGAAGCTTGGCACTCAGGTCAATCAGCAATTAATAAACACATCGACATTGACCCAATTTACCAACCAATCAGAAAAATAATAGGCAAACATTAGATCAACAATGAGATCAAAAGGAAGATACTATCAAAACAAAGGTGCAAACAACGAGAGGCTTAAGGTCAACAACAACCAATCATGATCGAGGTGTTGGACGGTATATTTTGAGATCTGCATTATTGTAAGATACTTCTTGATGTCAAAAAAGAATTCTGTTAACGGCGACTTATGTGGATCGGTTTTGTTTTTTGATACCACTAAATTCACAGATATGTGGTCAGTAGTTATTTCTCTTGTCACAGTGATACAGTCACCATGCATGAGTCAATATCAGCCGGAATCAACAAATAAATCTCATTTCTTTGAGAAATCAATACCGAATACGGGCACTGCTAATTTCCAGTCTATAAAATATCATAGACTAATATCATTTAGATAGAATTGTTGAACACCAAGCATGACTGGATAATTGCCTCTAACTTACATTACGCCTACCCTATCCTCGATGATTAAAAACCGTTACATATTTAGGCAGCATCATTGACGCGAGCAAGATGGATCAGATACAGATGTGAAGACGAGGATCAGCAAAGCAAGGACAGCGTTTCCTCAATTGAAGAACATTTGTAACTCCAAACAACTATCAACCAACATTAAAGTCACAATTTTCAATACAAATTTCAAGACATTTCTACTGTATGTGGCAGAAACATGGACAACTACCAAAGCCATCATCCAGAAGATACAAGTGTTTATTAACAGTTGTCTACGCAAAGTACTTCGGATTCGTTGGCCAGACACCATCATCAACAACGTACTGTGGGAGAGGAGAACAAACCAGATTCCAGTGGAGGAAGAAATTAGGAAGCACTGAAGTTGATGGATAGGACACTGTTACGCATGAACGTCAACACGTCGTTTGATATGTTTGAACTAGTACGACTTCACCTTGGTCGAAAAAAGAGAGCGAGGTTCAAGGATCCGGTGACACGACAGACTACTGTAATCCGAACGTCACAAACCCCCAACTGAATAAAATAAGAAGTATAACCTGTATTCTACAAGCATCCAGAAAGTAAGAGGTCCGAGTCCAGAAGAGGCTGAGGATTCCTGACTGGGGATCCGGGTCCGGGTCATAAAACGTTACAGATAATGCGTATTTACACAGTTAGGTCGAATAGGAAACAACATTGAAATACGCGACATTGATAGTTAAGACAACCGAATATGAATTGACCAATAGAATTAGACTTACAAATGGTTCTCTTACGATATCAGATGAATATCCGAACAGATACACACTGAGGAAAGCACCGAACTGCGTCACTAGACAAGTCTTCACTTGGAAATATCCAAGTTAAAGGAAAAGAGGAAGATCGAAAAACAACTTACACCGAGAAATGTAGACAATCATGAGAAGAATGAACAAAAATTGGACAGAACTGAAAAGGCAGGTCCAGGTTCGATTAGGTTGGAGAATACTGGTCGGCAGCTCATGCTCTATCGGGGGATAACAGCTGTAAGTAAGTAAGTAAGTAAGCAGGTAATCCTCAATGATATTAGAAACCTTCTACTCCATTAGATAAAACAGATCCTTGACTTTTAAGTAGATCAACTTAAAAAATTATTAATCCTCTCCTTCTGATCATACATAAAAGTGCATTCATGACAATACAATATAACATATAAGTTCAAATAATCTCACCTAAATGTATTCTTATCACAACGACATTTATTCATCGATGAAATTTCACATGGACACGATATCGTCATCGGTGATGATGAAGATAATTGCACTTCATCACCTTCGTCACCACCGTCATCCCCTTCGTCACTGTGTTCATGATAAGATCGATGATAATGATATCGACTGGTGATTAATTTCATTTGATTATAACTTAAATCAATATAATTAATCAATTTTGGGCATAAGAATAAATCACTGAAATTTTCCAATGCATTATAACTAACATCTAAATAGATGAGGTTTGGACAAATTTTGGCTAGATTTATGCTTTTTTCTAACAATCCAGATGGAGTTGACTGTTTGCGCATTGAAGGATTTGTGGGATTCACCAAATGCAATGATTTCAAACAATTATGATGTAACCAAAGATGTGTCAAATGACTTGTATGATATTCTATGATTAAAATAGATAAGTAAATAAAAAAATCAATAAATATTGATTATTTTTTATAATATTAGTCAGTAGCAATACAATAGGAAACAGCATCGAAGTGACTGACATTGACAGTTAAGATGACCAATAGGAAGTGACATTTGAAGTGACATTGATAGTTAGGACAACCAATAAGAAACAACATTGAAGTATTTGACTATGACAGTTATAACGACCATAATTTTTACCAATAGGAATTGACGAATACTTCTCTTAGGATATTGGTTGTGAATATCCTAACAATTACCTACTTATTTACTTACTTAATTACTTACACCTGTGATCCACCGACCAGCATTCTCCAAACTACTCTGTCTTCGGAGAATCCTCCTTTCCAGTTCTAACCAATTACTGTTTATTCGTCGCATGTTTGTTCCTGATTCCCAGCGTTATGTGGTCTTTTTTTATATCTCTTCTCTTCTGGCCTTGAAATTCTTACACACTAGGGCATACCTTGTGACGCAGTCGGATGCTTACCTCAATTAGTGTTTCCTATCCACTTCAAGAGCTTTTTTTTTCTAATTTATTCCTCAGTTGGAGCATTTTGGTTTGTTTTCTGCCATAGTAGGTTATTACTGATGATAGCAGGCTAACGGATGTGAAGAGGTGATGTAATATTACCATTACTTATTTACTTACTTACACCTGTGGCACATAATGGAATATCGGTCGCTGAACAACGTGCTCCAACCTATTCTGTCTTGGGGCTTCTTTTGCAATTCTATCGAACTTCTGTTCATCCTGTTCTTTTCTGTCTTCGATTCTTGGTGTAATGTGTTCTTTGGTCTGCCCCTTTCTCTTTGGCCTTAAGGATACCAAGTTTTAGGGCTTGCTTTGTGACGCAGTTAGGTGCTTTCCGCAAAGTGTGTCCAACCCACATTGCCATAAGCTTATGGCAAACTGTCATCGGAATCGATTAATTCAAGTGGTGTCCGTTAGGGATGCCTACTCTCCCCATTGTTTTTTAACTTTGTCGAAGACATGATTTTAGAGTTAACATTACCATCGTCTGACTTTTCAGGAGTGGACCTACTAGCAGGGGACATACTTACTGACTTAGAGTATACTAATGACATAGTTGTATTTGACGAAGGTGCTGAAAAAAATGCAGTATCTTTTGACTGCTCGAAGTAACAATACAAGCATGTTCGGGATGCGGTTCTCACCCTTGAAATACAAAATGTTGCTTCGAGATAGAGAATGAAGCAGCTGAACGTGTAGACCGCTTCATTTATCTCGGTAGTCTCATCAGTGCTGACGGCTTGGTAACTGACCAAATCTCACCACGGATACAGAAGGCTCGATGGACTTTTACCATCTTACATCACTTATGACATAGGCAAGATATCCGTCTGCTAACCAAAGGAAGAGTGTACTGCGCAGCAGTTCGCTCTGTCCTACTATACGGATACGAAACATGGCCGTTGAGAGTGGAGGACATTCGTAGATTGCTAGTCTTCGATCATCGGTGTCCCCGAAGCATTGCTCGTGTATGTTGGGACAACCGAGTAAGCAATGCAGTTGTTAGGAAAAGAGTACTAGGTAAATATGGCGAATCAACTGACGAAGTACTGCACCTTCATCAGCTGACATGGTTGGGACATGTATTACGTATGCCTGCCTAACCACCGACTACCTCGACAACAGATGTTTTGTGGTGTAGGAGTAGGTCCAAGTCCATCATTGAGTAACTACTTCACACATTAAGCATCGCTGAACTCCATTAATTACGGCTTTTGACTAGATCTCCATGTATTCACCTATAAACACTAGCCACTACTGAGTACATGATTATAATTTCTAACTAAGAAATTTAAAAATCTCCATAAACTATTAACTATGTTTTTACATGATACCTTTTGCTTAACTTTGTGATTATTCACTTCACTGGTTTCAGACAGACAGATGCAACGTAGAACTTCGCACGTAAGTAAATCAGTTCAGGTTGCAATACCACATCAGTACAGAGACACAACTTTCAGTTCAAATCTAAGAGTGATAGCGAATAGTAGAAGTATTAGCAGTAACAGAAAATATTAGGGAGCGAAGATATGATTCGAAAAGTATAATTCAGTGAGATAAATTTGTATGGAGAAAGATAGAGATGATGAAGAATGCAGAAGCTTAGAATTTGAGAGAACACAAAAAGTGGATGCACCTGCGCCATTGCAAACGATTCTGAGTCATGTCATTCAAGGTCTCTAACCATTGGTGACTTTCGTCTCGCGGACCCCAACCAGATAGCCTACATCTACCAACATGACTCAGTCTACTTGTCAGTGACTTCATGGATTTGTGCCATGTTTTGGTTTGGCCGCCCCTAGCTGGTTTCACTAAATATAAACCAAAATTTTGAAAACACCTATAGTGAAGTTCTCGTACTCTCACAAAAAAATCATACTTCATACTCAGTAAATAGCTAGCGGCTAAACATTATACGCAACCCCTGAAAGACAAATACCACGCTGAAGAAACATGTGAATTAAGTTTATGAACACTAAGAGAGCTGTTTTCAACGTATGCCGAAAAACTATAAGTGGACAGAGTCGATATGAGCTACTAATCTAACAATGATGCTTTACAGTGTAAAATGGTAGAGAAGATTTGTAACTTCGACGGATAATTTTGTTCACATTACAATTTTCTAAACTGTTTAGTTCAATTGTGAATTTTGGATTGTTCTTCTACTAAGCAAAATCATCAGTACAAACTGTAGATAAAAGTGAACTGATGTATTATATATATCAACTCAACTACATTTGAGTTTGTTTATGTTTCAATTCGATTAAGCCCTTTTTATATAACTTATCTAACAGAAACAGTATTCAGTATAGCAACTATTGTACTATTGTACTGTTATTATTATGACGTTTGTATGAGCACGTATGCTTGAACTGACGACAGTTGCGTCTCTGTGCTGATGGGGCATGGCACCCTGAAGTAATGTACATACGTACGAAGTTCTGCGTTGTATCTGTCTGTCTGTCTGTCTGTCTATCGCTTAAATAATTCGATGACCCATTCATTTTCCTATGCATATATATGAACATTTTGATCCTATTCACTTACTCTCTCACTCGCTTGCTCTTCGGCACTCTCATATCACCATCGCTTTTGCTTCGTATACCTGTGGTTTTTTGTGATCTGTGTGTGTGGTGCGATAATAAACGTCATTAACGCTTCGTGTTTGTCTTCTAAATTATATACACCATTGGGTGTTTGATATGCTCGTCAACTGATATGCTTGAAACTACTATTACGAGTTCAGTTTACTCCTCGGTAAATGAGAGCGAAGACACTTGATGCAGTGACACGATAGACTATCCTGATTCCATTATTCCCCGGCCATGCTAACTAAGTCAATAAGTCTTTACGAGACGTAGAAAGTGTATTTTACAAGCACCCAGAAAATATGAGGTGTTGACAAGCACACACAAATCGAGTTTATTTATACATGATAGAAACGTCCTTGAGAGAGCCACAAAAATAGCGTACTAAAATAATACATCAACCAATAACAACAGTCAAGGATTTTCCGAGTGGGAAATGTAATCTCAAGGTCAACTGATCAGCCCATGCGCTAAAGCACAAAATCCAAAATTAGGACCTTAATCAAGTGAGTTCTGGGGATCTGACGTCCTCAACGCTATCAAAAGTAGAGTTTTAGGTTATGATATAGGGTAAGGGTACTTTTAAACTAATATTATATTTTAAGCTTTCACTATGATACCAATGTCAAACTTGAACAGTTATACTTTCATAACCAACTGAGATAATTAATTCATCATGTAAAAGCGAATTATTCTTTCAGAATCCTTTGATTTTCTGCTATAATCCAATCATTCATAGTTACTGTTCTCTAATTCATCAATACATGTCAAAGGTTAACTTAGAAGTGACTTAAGTTCGAAATTCGCATGTGTTGTGTCTTGTGACTCCTATCAAAATTCTGATATAATATTTGGGTATTATTCTCTCTATACCGAAATGTCTCTAATATAATCTCAAGGTCAACTAAGCGACTTATGCGCGAAAACATAAAGAATTGAAAATTAGTATCATTTCCAATTGAGTTCTGGGAATCTAACGTCCACAACAGTGTTATCTAGTAATGGTTGTCAGGACGAACGGTATATGAAGTTTGAGAATTTTAACGAATACTGACCGGTTAGTGAACCGATTCAACAATTCAACTTCTCCAATCCCAAAAGTATAAAATCTTAAAAAACTTAAAATAAATGAATTTATTGAAAAACCTTGTCCACATACCATATTGATCAAAAAACTCAACAGGTTTCCTCTTTTCAAATAATTTGTCATTATATTCATCATTACTACTAATATTATTGTTAGTAGTAGTATTAGTAGTAGAACTATTCTTTTCTACAGGTTGTTTAAGATTTGTTATGCATGTTAACAGTTGATTAGTTGGAAAGTATAAAATAGTTTCTGAATTAAAATCCATTGAAAATCTTTCAGCATTATTCCCGAATTGAGTAGCATTGTGAATTTCATGCGTTGTTTGTAAGCTTTGTGTTTTCTGAGTGAAAAAATGATTGAACATCATTACAACATTATTATTACAATCATGAAGAGAGAAAGACAAATGGAAAATTTGAAAGTCGATTACCATAAATTTAAACAAAAAATATGACCTTGATGATTCTTCCTCTGCATATTAATTCGATGTACAATAACATAGGCATACGTAACACATGTCCCAATCCCCTCAATTGATGCAGTTTCCATGCTTCATCTATTATTGACCTGTCATCCTTACCTAGTACCCGTATCCTAACAACAGCTATTGCTTACTCGGTTATCTCAGTGTTTTTACACAATAAAATTATTAATCAATCATTGTAAGACTACCATTAGAAACGTAGAAGCACTGCGGTCCATAAGTTAAGCGTTGACGGTCCGTGTGCAATCTATTCTGTAGACATGGCTGGTGTTGACCACGCCTATCAGTACTCTGTGGAAGTGAAGAGCAGGTTCTCACTGTTTTCTGGATGACAAGCTGAACATTGAGAACCCGGATATTTTGCTATCCAAGTTGCAAAGTAAACGAGCTGAAAAGACTAAAAAAGATAAGCCTCATGTGCAACAGCAGCAAGTGGCGCCTGTGAAGGTCGACACGATAACAAAGAATGAGGTGATGGTGGAGACTGCAGCCCCTAAAGGTTCTCGGGTATCAAAAACTCCTAACTCTACAGAGCAACCCCCTGGAATCGGCTTGTCCGGAGATAGGGGGCTAGCCTCCGTAAAGCACCACCCTTCTTGTGGTGTCCGGAACGCTTTTGTCGGCCCTTGAAAATCCGAGCGAGGCAGTATAATTTTCGTGGCAGGCCGTACCCATATCCACAGCAGGTCTCCAAGGTGAACAGCCTCTGGCAATTGAACAATGTAGGTAAGGGAAGTCGGCAAATTGGATCCGCAACTTCGGGAGAAGGATTGGCTCTGGGGGCCGAGTCAGACAGGCCGAGATCAGATACGTGTCGGTTCAGTTGGGGGCTGGTTTCTTTGCTGCTTTGTGTGCTTCGGTGCGCATTGTGGTGAGGTTACTGGACTCTGACCCGGGTCAAATGTGGGCGGTTTCAGCTGTTAGTGTCGTGCAGCTAGCAACGCGCGAGGACTTGTTCCACATTGCGTCAAGCGGCTGCGCTTCCATGGTCTGGCGCGCGACGGCTAACTCAGGACTGGCACGGACCAGGGGAATCCGACTGTCTAATTAAAACAAAGCATTGCGATGTCCACTGATTGGTTTTGACGCAATGTGATTTCTGCCCAGTTCTCTGAATGTCAAAGTGAAGAAATTCAACCTGTGTTCGAATCCAATGAGTAGCAGGAGTCATGGATGTGCACTGCTGATGAATAGTCCTATACCAGATTTCCGATGGTGGTCTAACAATGAGTGATTGATGATTTCAATCTGTATAGATTTTATAACAATTACAAGGTTTTGAGCTAGTAATGTGGATCCATTAGCGAAATAGATTTGCCTGAACGTAGTTCTGTAGTGCCTCCACATGTATTCCAGTTCGCTTACATTTAATTTGGTTAAGCACTTTTGGTTAATTTATTTAGCCAAGCCATTTGTATACCAACAATTTATATGTTGTACCATTCGTTCTTATTATTGTCTGGTTTGTATGAGCTCACATGACATGTCCCACTTGTCATTTGACCTTGTCAGTCATTCGTCGCTTTTATTCATGTGTGTGCACGCCTAACTCGTTGGTCATATGTCTTTCTTATTTTTGTCTGACTATATTTTCTTAGTCATGTTCTATCTCTTTGAGTTCGCTCACTAGCCTTCTCCAATTCGCTTCGCCCATTCGTTCGCATTGTAACCCATGAAGTTGGCTCAAAAGCCTTCTCCAGTTCGCGTTGCTTCATTCGTTTTATTCACTGCTTCTCCGCTTCGCTTTGTGTGTTGTTCTGAATAAACGTATTCATCACTACGAATTCATCTTCTGATTTATAAATCGTCAGACGCTATTTGGTAACGATTGTCTGAACGAGTTAATTACCGATCTTATTATGAAACTCGCTCGTACCTCGAAATCAGCACATTACAAGTTTCAAATTTGACACAGATCAAGCATAGGATTAACATTATTTACTAGAGTAAAGTGATGGCTAATCAACTTTAACCTATTAAACTGTAAACTAGGATTGCGTGACTCCTTAAACAACAACTCAATTGTAACACTGAACACTTCGATATTTAAAGCGTGACTTTCAATATAAGTACACGAATCTATACCTTGTAATGTTGAAAATAAACCATATGAATTAGCAGAACAAACTGTGTGAGATAATTTTAAGATTAAATATTTAGGGGAGAATAAGAGTGAATGTATTTATGTGATTAATTAATTTATGTTAATGTCACCAAGCCTCTATGAACATTGATTACGACAATCACGTGAACTCAAACTGGATAATTTGTGCATACTCAATTAATAGACGTCATTTTAAGACAGTTTAGCCTACAATGTCGAGACATCCAGATCCGATAACGAAACTCTATCACAATTATCCAACTGAGCTGAAAACATTCTCTACTGTCTCAAGTATTTAAGTCTGAAAATGATGTCCGTCTTTATGTATAAAAGTATTATTTTAACAAAGGAGTTATTTCGTTAATTAAAGTAGGTCAGTATTCAATAAGATAGCCTTGATCCCATTTTATATTGATATATTATACAGCTAAAGGATTTCGTAACTAGAAGTTGATAACATTCAAGAATTTGTTCTAATCATTGACTGTGAGTGATGGTAACATCAAAAGTATGATTCGGGATGTATAATTTAGTGAGAAAATTGTAGAAAGAGAAAGATAGAGATGATGAGGAATTTAGAAGGTTAGAATTTCATTAAACACAATGAATGAATGCACATGCGGCAATTGCAAACGATTTTGAGCCATGTGGTTTTAGGTCTATAACCATAGGTTACTATCATATCGCGGACTCCAATCAAGTAGAATAAATCTACCAACATAACTCAGCCCACTTGTCAGTGACTCTATGGATTTTTGCCGTGTTTTGGTCTATCCACCCCTAGCTATCTTCCAACCAACTCCTAAACCACAAAACGTACCTCGAGGCAGTCGGTGGTTAGCCATACGTAACACATGTCCTAACCACCTCAACTGATGAAGTTTCAGTCCTTCATTTATTGATTTGCCATCCCTAGCTAATACTCATTTCCTAACTATAGCATTGCTTACTCGGTTGTCCCAGGATATACGAGCAATGCTTCGAAGACATCTATAATCGAATACTAATAACCTACGAATATCCTCAACTCCTACTGGCCATGTTTCGCAGCCATAAAGTAGGACCGCAAGAAAAACTGCTGCGCAGTATACTCGTCCTATAACGATTGGCCAAAAGACTGATTTTACATGCTTCGGTAGTACAATTCTCAGCATTTTATAGTAATTAGAAAAAAGTAAACAGAATAAATCAGCTAATGGAGGAAATCATGAGATTTGCATCTTTCAACTATATTACTTATGAATAACAATGAATTTATTACGAAATTTTATTGTTGTATCATTTTTGGTCAATGGGATTATACTTCTTGAATGATATCTTCAGTCCTTAATATTTTCGATTACAGGTAATAATGCTACTATGTCTACCGGTTGCTTTGACGAGCGACGTTTTGTGATGTAGGGGTAGGTTGGAAGGAAGCTAGGGGCGGCCAAACCAAAACATGGCAGAAATCCATGAATTCACTAACAAGTGGACTGAGTCATGTTGGTAGGTATAGGCTATCTGGCTGGAGTCTGCGAGACGTATGTCACCAAAGGTTAGAGACCTTGAACGATATGGCTCAAAATCGTTTGCAATAGCGCAGGTGCATCTACTCTTTGTGTTTTCTCAAATTCTAACCTTCTGAGTTCCTACTCACCTCTATCTTTCTCTTTCAAAAGTTATCTCACTGAATTATACTTCTCGAATTATATCTTCGAACCCTAATCTTCAGCATTATCACTAATACTTCTACTATCTGTATCACCATTGGATTTGAACTGACAGTTGCGTCTCTGTGCTAATGCGGTATAACAAACTGAACAGATGTACGTACGTACGAAGTACTACATTGTAACTGACTGACTGACTGACTAATTGTTTTTTGAGATATAATAATCACAGTCTTAAGTCATCATCATTGCCACACATCTAAGCCGATTCCCTCTGCAATTATCTCCATAAGATGGTGGGCAACTGGAACATGATAACCACTTCTTGTTAACCTTAAACAACACCAGCAAAATTACCTTGTTTGAACTAAAAACAAATGAGTTATCCAATACATTCTACTACTAGCTTTATCTATGAGTGTTACAACTTATGACACTAAAAGTATCTGCATTACGAGGTTGGGAAAATTGTTAAGTTACACATTTTTGAAACCATGAATCGATTAATGTTGAATTGATCAAGTTAGACATGAATACCGTTAGACACCGGCTCAGTGGTCCGATGGTTAGGCGTTCGCCTACAATACCGAAGGTCCTAGGTTCGAATCCTGCGGGGTGCAGGAGTCGTGGATGCGCACTGCCTCTGATGAGTAGTCCCATACCAGGACGAAACGGCCGTGTTTCAGTGCTTCCAGGTTTCTAATGGCAATCTAACATTAATCGATTCATGGTTTTAAAAATGTGTAACTAAAAGTATCATTATAAAAAGAAACTTTGAAAGAAAAAAAAAACAATTCTTAAATTCTAAAACTCACTTTCTTGTACAATGAATCCCTATACATTTGTTGTGAATGATCAAATTGTAATTTTAATAAATTTGGCGCTGGTAAGCAACTGATTTTATTCCAACTTAAATCAAGAAATTCTAATTTACACCATAATGAACCGGTCCATATTTCTGCAGGTAATACACGTAATTGATTTTTCGACAATAGTAAATGTAACAGATTCGGTGCAAATGAATCATTCACCGTCATCATCATCATCATCATCGTTTTAGGATGTAATGAAGAACCGGCGGTATGCATGATGACAGGCTCTGAATAACAACGACGAAGATGATGCGAATCGATGACGTCAGTGTTCTTAGGAAGAACATATGTATCTTGTTGTTTCAAACTACTATTATCATCGTTGTTAGTAGTATAATTTTTAACTTTTCTTTTAGAAGAGAATGATACCATGCCTGTATCATAGTCATATTTGTTAACAAATAACCATTTGGGTAAATAGTCCAATTGATTTTCAGATAAATCTAAATAAATTAAACTAGATGTCCAACAAGTCGAAACATATTGATCAGGTCGATAGGCCATTGGAACATTGGGTAATTGTTTTGGTAAACTACGATATGATTTTTACTTAAATCTAATTCCTTTTTAAAGAAAAAATTAAAAAAGATGAATGTAAAAAGCTATCCATACAGCAATAACTAAAAAAAACTCAAGTAATATAATGTGAATTCATTGGAGATGGGAATTTTAATGCCGTTGGATTTATAAGCTTAGTGAGCTTGAGGTTAAGAGTTCGCACGCACGAGACCCGAAAGTCCTGGTTCGTAGATATGCACATCTGAGAAGTTCTATACAAGGACTTTCCAGTACTCTTAGGTTTTTCATTGACATCTAACTGTTACGCTTGCATGTAAACACGTCAACTTGATATACTTGAACTATTATTACGAGTTTACCTAGTCGGAAAACGAGAGCGAGGATCTAGGATACGGCAACACGACATGCTACTCAAATCCGATTATCCCAAACTTTCATATTGAGTAAAAATAAGAAGACATGATATGAAGTAGAACCTGTATTCTACAAGCATCCAGAAGAGGATTAGGATACCGGGACTGGGGACCAGGGACTGGATCCTGGTCCTGGTCCTGGACACAAAACCTTACAGGACCATATGCGTATTTATACATTTTGGTCAAATAGGAAACAACATCAAATTCTGTGACATTGACAGTTAAGACGACCAATAGGAAGCAAATTGGAGCACGTGACACATTGATATCTAGATCGATCATAAAATTGACCAGTAGGAATTAACCAATAGGAATTAGTCAATAATTCTTTTTGGATATTGGATGAATATCCTTACACTAACTTAGTCAGTCAACTAGAACGTCCTCAAGGCCTTTATATGGGAACTTATTTTTAATGTGTTAGTTCCGCTCTTCAAAAGGCCTTACTGCCGGAGACAGAAATCCGAGGTTAAGTTAAAGGTCGAACTTTTCTAACCGCATCCTTCTGTAATGAGAAAGTAGCACCGCATGTAGATGCCTGGCTGTCCGAGGGAAACACCTTCCCGCTATCAAACCTTTTCTAAAGTCAGCACTACAACTTCACCTTCAGATCTTGAGTTGTTGCTTTTAGTCTTATCGTTCTCCAATCGATTTGCCTAGCATGATAAGACCAAAAAAAGGAACATGTTTTACAGCCAATATAGCTCGATTGAGTTATTACGATAGGCAGTCCCCGACCACTACTTCAAAGTGGTAGCTACAGTCGGGCTATCAAACTAATTGTCAATCCCTGATTTTAAAATTATAAGATATATATTTGAAAAATTCATTAATAATATTTACCAATCATTCAAAAGCTGTTTATGAAAACTGGTATTAATATTAAAGATTATTGACTTAATTTACCATGATTCCTATCACCTGAGCCAGATAGTTCAATAGTGAATTTGTTAACAAGTATTGCTCACATACTTACTTACACCTGTTACCCGTAGTGGAGCATAGTCCACCAACCAGCATTCTCTAACCTACTATATGTCCTGGGACTTCCTTCTCAGTTCTACTCAGCTGATATTCATTCTTTTTGAGTCTGCCTTCGATTCTCGGCGTAGGGTACTTTGGTCTTCCTCTTCTCCTTCGGCCTTGACAATACCAAGTTAGGGCTTGGTATTTTGATTTTCGGAATGTGTGTCCTATCCATTTTCAGAGCTTTTTTCCTAAATTCTTCTTCTTCAGATGGAGGAAGCTGGTGTGTTCTTTGCCATAGTAGGTTGTCACTGATGTGTTAGTAGGTATAAACTGCCCGATTGATATCTTCTATGTGATTATCACAATCAATGGTTGGAGACTATGTTTAACATGGCTAAGAATCGGTGGCAATGAAGAAGATTCATTCAATGTTTGTCTTCCTTTGGATCCTGAGTTTTGAAATTATTTCGTATTTTCTTATTCTCGAATCCCTTTATCTGAGTCAAATTTTTTCCAACATAATTGGTACTAAGATTACTCCTTTTTCTGGAATTTGTTTAGATAATCCCATCTTCTTGTGAGCGAATGATGTGGAGGCTTAAAATGATTCACATATTATATTCAAGGTTACATGTTGTTTCAGTCAGTTAGCTACAACACGGAGAACTTGGTACGAACGTACATCATGTTTAAGTTGCTATACCACATTAGCACACAGAGATATGCATTTATCAATTTGAATCCCATATTGGTAGAGGTAGTAGAAGTATTTAGCAGTCATGGCGAAGATTAGGATTCGAAGATAACGATTCGAGAAGTATAATCATCCAGTGAAATAAATTTAAAAGGAGACAGGTAAAGGTGATGAGAAATTCCAGAAGATTAGAAATTGAGAGAAGAAAAAGAATGGTTGCATCTGGGCCATTGCAAACGATTTTCAGCCATGTCATTCAAAATTCTCTAACCATCGATTACTATCACATCTCGCGGACCCCAACCAGGTAGCCTGCACCTTTTTATATGGCTCCGTCCAGCTTTAAGGATGTGCCATGTTTTGGTTAAGCCGCCCCCTAGCTTTCTTCCAGCCTACTCCTACATCACAAAACGTCGCTCGTCAAAGCAATCGGTAGACATAGTAGCATTATTAGCGGTATTCGAAAAGATTAGAGATCATAGGTATAATTGGAGAAGTAAAAAATTTGTAAAAAAAAGGAATTCAGACAACTAGGAGTTGAGAGAACACAAAGAATGAATGCATCTGTTGTGCCATTTGCAAGCAATATTGAGCCATGTCATTCAAAGTCCCTTTAACTATACCGGTTACAAGAGTGTTATGCTCGTCACTAGGTATGCTTGAAACTATTACGGGTTCACCTTCAGTCGGTCAGTCAGCTACAACGTAGAACTGCGTACGTACGTACATCAGTCCACGTCGCCTCCACATTAGCACAGAAAGATATGATTGTCAATTCAAATCCAATAGTAGAAGAGGTAGTAAAGGTATTCGAAGTAATCGGAGAGGTTAGAATTAGAAGATATTATTCACGAAGTATGATTCAATGAGATAAGTCTAGAAAGTAAAAGCTAGAGGTGTTGAAGAACCCAGAAGATTAGGGTTCACCTTAGTCGACAATGAACCAGTGTCCGGGTATAGGCTACTCTGGTCCGTTAACCCAAAAGAACTAACAAAAAAGTCTTGATAGAGTGTAGAAAGTATATTCTACAAACACACCAGCAAGCACCATACAATCAAGCACACAAATCTCGTTTATTTACACATCACAGTAATATCCTTAGGAGAGTCACAAAGATAGCACACTAAAATAACACAGCAACCAATTACAGCTAAGGATGATCCTGGTGCGAAATGTAATCACAAGGTCAACTGATATCAGCCCATGAATAAAATCCAAAATTAAGACATTTATCAAGCGAATTCTGAGGATCTAACTGTTGGGATATTCATCCCATATCCTGGGAGAATTATTATTGGTCAATTCCTATTGGTTAATTCTTACTTGTCAATTTTATGGTCGTTCTAGATATCAATGTCACTTGCTCCAATGTTGTTTCTTATTGGTCGTCCTAACTGTCAACGTTACATAATTCGATGCTGTTTCCTATTCGACCAAAATGTATAAATACGCGTTATCTGCAACGTTTTATGACCACGACCAGGACCCGGTCCCGGATCCCTAGTCAGGGATCCTGTTTCTCCTCTAGATTCGGACCTCGTACTTTCTGGATGCTTGTAGAATACATATCATATCAAGTCTTGTCTTCTTTTACTAAATATGGGGGTTGGGATAATCGGATTTGAGTAGCATGTCGTGTCGCCGGATCCTCGATCCTCGCTCTCGTTTTCCGACTAGGTAAACTCGTAATAATTCAAGCATATCAAGTTGACGACGTGTTTACGTGCAGGCATAACACTAACGTGCCCCAACAAAGTAAGAGCCTATAATCGACTCCAACTCCAAACATTGTTGGATTAAATAGTCTGACTGATTCACTTAAGCAAGAATTTCAATATTGACCTAGAATTCAATAGCCGGATGAATAAATAACTATTCACAACCTGTTGAACAATTTTCTAATTGAAATCAATCCATAATTCTACAGTTCTAATAGAATAATAATAATAATAATATTAAAAGTTTACCTTTAAATTTTTCACACAATTAAATAAACACCATGGAAGAGTTTGTAAACCACAATTCGATAAAGTGATACGTGTAATCGATTGATTTGTTTGGTGAATAGAAAAATTCCTACTGAATAATGGTGATGGTATGGATAGTGTTAATAGTTGACTAATATATTGATATAATTGATGATTACGACCATTATTACTATTATTATTATCAGTAGTATTAGTAGTAGTAGTATCGGTATTTTTGTTCATGTTAGATTCCTTCTGTTGTACAGATGACATTGCAGATGGTGACTGTGATGATGATGACGCCAACTCGCATGCATTGATCCCATTGAACTTGGATAACTCTTCTAATAATTTCATCCATTGTGGTATAATCAGCATAGAATTTACAAACCAAAATGTTTTAGTCATAATTGACGATTGAAAACAATGACATATTGGATAAATTTAAATGTTTTGTCATTGTGATCAATGTCCCATGAACTTCGAATGATTTTAATAATAGTTCATGTATAAACAAAAGACCAGCTAATTTATGGAAGGATTTTTTCATTGTATACACAAATAATTGATTGTTTAAATCAACTGCACCATGAGTCAGTAGGATTGTAGCGATTTCGACAGCTTTCTAGAAGAGATACAAATTAATGGTACGAGGGTGGGGGGGCGGCGTGGAACAAAAATACAAGTCAATTAAAGAATAGATCAAAAACAAGTTGCATCAATCATTGTTGAGGACGTTAGATTCACAGAACTCACCTGGTCGCTTCACTTATCTGGGAATCTCATCAGCGCTGACAGCCTGGTGACTGACGAAATCTCAGCTCGGATACAGAAGCCTCGATTGGCTTTTGCCAACCTACGTCACTTATGGCGTAGGCGTGATATCCGTTCGCTAACCAAAGAACGGGTGTACTGCGCAGCAGTTCTCTCCCTTTGCCTATATGGCTGTGCAAAAGAGCAGATAAGAGTAGAAGATATTCGTAGGTTACCAGTATTCGATCATAGATGTTTAAGAAGCATTGCTAGTATGTCCTGGGACAACCGAATAAGCAATGCTGTCTTAAGGAAACGGGTGCTAGGTAGGGATGGCAAATCAATAGATAAAGTAGTGAAACTGCATCAGTTGAGGTGGTTGCGACATGTGTTACGTATGGCTAACCACCGAGTGCCGCGACGAACTATGCTTTGTGGTGTAGGATTAGGTTGGAAGAAAGCTAGGGTTTCTTCCAACCTACTCCTACACCACAAAATAAAAGCTCTTCGAGGCAGTCGGTGGTTCGGCATACGCAGGCATGTCCCAACCACCTGAACTGATGAAGTTTCATTACTTCATACTATTGATCTGCCATCCTTACCTAGTACTCGTCTCCTAACGACAGCATTGCTTACTCGGTTGTCCACGGTATACGAGCAATGCTTCGAAGACACCTATGATCGAATACTAGTAACCTACGAATATCTACTCTCACTGGCCATGTTTCACAGCCATATAGGAGACGGAGCGAACTGCTGCACAGTACACTCGTCCTTTGATTAGAGAACGGATATCATGCCTACGCCATAAGTGACGCAGGTTGGCAAAAGCTAATCGAGCCTTCTGTATCCGAGGTGAGATTTCGTTAGTCACCAGGCCATCGGCACTGATGAGACTCCCCAGATAAGTGAAGTGGTCTACACGTTCGACTACTTCACTCCCTGTCACTAGTTCAGGTGCCGCAGATTAGCCTATACCCGAACACTGGTTCCATTGTCTTGTTCTCGTTTATCGTAATAGCATTCAAGCATATCCAGTGACAAGCATAACAACAAGACATACAGTACAGTTCTTGAACCGCTACTATTCACGATAGTATTGTAGAGATGCTCATCGTTGAGGAGTTCCATTTTAGCTTGGAACACTTATTCATAGGCTTTTTTTGTTTAACTGTTGTATCAAAACAATATACGCTACAACAAATACATACATTTGTTTTCAAATCACTTTAAATTAGTCAATAAATTCATTTATTATTGATTTTTTATTTTATAGTCTCTTAGTCCAAATAGTCCAATCATATTAATTGGTACATATGATTTTGATTGCAATTCAAATATGAATGATTCTTCTGCTACTACTACCAATACTACTAATAACAAACATAATAGTAGTCACAAGTCAATCAACATCAAAAATCATTTCCTGTTAATGGAAAAACTTGTTCATTGTAGATTTTTTGCAAATTCTGATTTAAATGCTTACGGTTTACCACCTTTGTATCATTATACATTTCTCGATTTATCATATACGTCATCAGTGAATAATGATGGTCATCATGTCAATGAAGAATCAGAAATATTACGTAGGAAAATTGATGAATTAACTTCGGTGATGTATAATGCTGCGCATAAGATCCTTATCATGAGTAAGTTTCTAGTGTATGTATGAGTGTGTGTGTGTGTATGTGTGCATACGTATAAATTGCATGATAGAGCTATGGAGGCCGTTTGGTTTTACATGAATCAATCATGGTTAGAAAACCATCGTTAGAAACCTGGAAGCACTGGGCGGCCGATATGGGACTTATCGGTGGCAGTGTGCATCCATGACTCAGGATTCGACTCTAAGACCTTCGGGCGTGCGTGCGTGCGTGAACGCTTAACCTTTGTAAAACTAAGCTGGAGTCCAAAGGTGTTATTTTTTCTGACTCTGATCAATCTAAGGATTTTGCGCAACCTCACCTATATATGTATATATCGATATACACTTCGAAGATTAATTCATACGAAAATAAATCTGTATCATAACGTCTGTTACACTTAGGCAAACGATCAATCAGTCAATCAATAGCAACGTAGAACTTCGTATGCAGATACGTACGTACATCAGTTCATGTTGCCATACCACATTAGCTCACAGAGATATAATTGTCAATTCAAATCCAATAGTAGTAGAGGTATTAGCAGTAATCGGAGAGGTTAGGATTAGAAGATATTATTCAAGAAGTAGAATCTAGTGAAATAGATTTAAAGATAAAGATAAAGTGATGACGAATTGAAAAGTTTAGGATTTGAGAGAACACAAAGAATGAATGTATCTGCGCCATTGCAAATGATGTTAGCTAGTTGCAGGAATAAGTTGTAAGTAGACAAGGAAAATACTAATTGAAACATGAAATTAATTCATGAAGTTATTAAATGTCGATAGGTACAACCAACCAGGTTAAGGTCTACCAAAATCTACGACAATCAGTAGTTGGAAATTTTAGGGAATGACATGACGTTGACACCTGGTCGTGATGTTGAAAATGTACTCATTCTATAGTTTTCACTAGATCTTGAGTTTCTGTGTTCTTTCATGTATAACTTTTCATGCTGTCTTTGTTGGGAACGTTAGATCCCCAGAACTCGCTAAGGGTCTTAATTTTGGATTTTTTTATGTTTTTACGCATAAGTTGCTTAGTTGACCTTGAGGTTACATTTCCCAACCCGGAAAATCCTTAACTGTTATTGGTGGATGCATTATTTTAGAACGTTATTTTTGTAGCGCTTTCAAGGACGTTTCTATCATGTATAAGTAAACTCGATTTGTGTGCTTTGAACCTCGTATTTTCTGGGTGCTTGTAGAATACACTTTCTACGCCTTGTTAAGACTTCTTGATATTGTTAGGCGTGCCTGAGATAACCGGATTAGAATAGCCTATCATGTTATCGCACCCTTTGTCTTCGCTCTCGTTTACCGAGTAGCGTGAATTTGTAATAGTTTCAAGTATATCAATTGACGAGCTTTTCAATCTTGTCCACAAGCACACAATTCAAGCTTATTTGTACAGTGAGAAAACGCCCTTGGGAGATCCACAAAATAGCGTACTAAAATAATCCATCAACCAATGACAATCAAGGATTTTCCTAGTGGGAAATGTAAGCTGAAGGTCAGCTAAACGTCTTTGGCGCGAAAACATTGAAATTCAAAATTTCACATATAAATTACAAAAGTAGGACTTTTGTCAAGTTAGTTCCGATGATTTAACTTCCCTAACACATTCTCACTTCATGCCTGGAAGCTATTATTGACGAACTTTCAGGTAATATTGCATGTACACATTACCAAAATGTTTCAAATTAACGTCGTTACATGTTATCGAATTATTCTTCTGTTCATAAATAAACTCATTGTAAGCTACTTTAAAACTTTATATTTGAACGTAGGCAGAACCAATTCTTATCTTACAGCTGACGTGAGTATAGGATTATGTTAAGAGAAAACTAGAAACGGATATACGATTTAATGACAGCAGTTCTTAAAGTCGCTGACTGTTGATATATGCTAAATTATTAGGTAGAATCTCTAGTTTGTTCGCAGGTTTTAATCGCGATTAGTGGTTGATGGCTGTTAGTGGGACATAGATGGAGTTAAAGCATGACTACGTTGCTGCGCGCTGATTGGCTAATTTCCTATCCAATCAGCGCCTGATCGATTCTTGGAGAATAGGGTAGAAAATTCTCGTGTTGTTAGCTGCATGTTGATTGGCTAAATCTAATCCAGTCGATCATCACGTGAATTACTATCCAGAAGCTTCTCATGAAAATACTATAAAGAATCTAACGTTGTATCTATTTTTGGCCTTCGCCTTCGCCATCACCTTTGGCTTCTTACTTCCATCTAACCTTGCTATTTGGAATATAATCTTTTCCTGTTCAACCGTGTTTTTTGATTTCTTTGGAACTTATCCAGTGTATTGTGTGGTCAGAGAATACTACTAAGCAATAGGAATTAGCTGGGAATTATTCTAAGCAAGCGTTACAACAAAGGCGTTGGATGACCTATCTCAGCATCGATTCACTAGTGTCAGAGTATTTATTCACTTATTCTTTTTCGTAATCTTCTCATATAACTACTTCAATGCTAATTTCATACTGTTTATTCCACAAGTCCATCTCTCTCTCTCTCTATTAATTTGGTACTGTATCTTGTGGTGGTGTTTCGTTCTCTGAGCTGGTTGTTTTGGTTGTTGAGCTTTCAATCTTCCTCTAAACAACATCATCAGCACAAACTTCAGATAGAAATGAAGTATTCGAATTTCTCCACGTTTGACCTGTAGCTTGTTCTGCTAACCTCGATCTTGATTGTTTCTTGTTGACCTTAAACCTGTCGTTCTTTGCACATTTGTTTTGATTGTATCCCCTTTTTGATCTGTTTCTTGATCCTATGTCCCCTATGATTTTTCTGATTGGTTGATAAATTGGGTCAATGTCGATGTGTTTATTGATTGCTGATTGACCTGAGTGCCAAGCTTCTAAAAATTCTCTAGTGTTCTTTATCTTCCCCCTATCCAGTATTTCCACATTGTCCCAATCCAATGTTTGTCCATAATTGTCGGTATGTATTGATATAAGCAAAGCGTTGTCGTGGCGTTTGACTGCTAATTGGCAGCCACGTAATCGAAGCTTAAGAGGACGTCCACTTTGTTTTATGTAGTGTTTTTCACAGTCTGAGCAGTTGTTTATTTTGTAGATGGGATATTTGGTTTTTCTTCCTTTGTCATTTTGTCCTTCGGTGTACAACATAGGATTGATTGAAGTGATTCTGGTTGGTCTGTGTGCCACACACCTATTCCAAATGATTTCAGTAGTCGTGCTGTATGCTCCGATATGTCTTTTATGTATGGGTAGGATGATCCATTTGTTGGTTCCTGTGCTTGATCGACATTGATTCAATTTATTAACCAACCCAACCAAAACAACCAGCTCAGAGAACGAAACATCACCACAATCATCCACCTGAGCTACACGTTTTCTCTACTGTATCTTGTGCTAGTGATGTACATTCATTCATCACACAGACTATATATTGATTTTGACCAATTTGGTCTCGAGTGCTGTTACGGGTATGAGGGTGGTTGTCACTTCCCGGCTGCCCACACCGTGGAAGGTTGTTTCTTGAGGGACCTGAAAAGGAAGATGGATTAGTGTTGGTGCGTGACCGCAGAGCCCAAGGGACAACTGCCTGAGGCCGGTCACGCACGGCCTTTTTATGAAAGGTATTTAGAGGATTAGCTCCGTTCTTAAAGGCCCTTAGTGGGCACACATACCCAAGGAGACGGAAATCCGTGAGTTAGGGGAGGTGTGACATTTTAGGGCCGACATTTTCTAACCCTCCCTTCCTTGTGAGAGGGCAGCATCGCTTCAGATGCTGGTTGTCCGAGGGAAACACCTTACTGCTGTCACACCCCTCTGCAGTCAGCAGTAAGACTTCGCCCTCAGACCTTGAATAGCTGCTTTTAGTCTCATTGTTCTCCAATCGACCTGCCTGGCAGGGTACGACCTGCAGGGACATATGTTCCAGCCAGTATAGCTCGGTTGGGTCATCACGATAGGCAAGCCCGACCACCACCACGTCAAGGTAGCAGCCATGTCATTCAAAATCGTTCGCAATGGCGCCGGTGCATTTATTCTCTGTGTTCTCTCAAATCCTAATCTTCTGGATTCTTCAACACTTCTAGTTTTGACTTTCTAAACTTTTCTCACTGAATCATACTTCTTGAATAATATCTTCTAATCCCAACCTCTCCGATTACTTCTAATACCCGCACTACCTCTTCTACTATTGGATTTGAATTGACAATTATATCTCTGTGCTAATGTGGTATGGCGACATGAACTGATGTACTTACGTACGAAGTTCTACGTCGCATCTGACTGACTGACTGAGACTATATATTGATTGTAATTGACTGACTGACTGACCGATTGACTGATTGATTGCTTAACTCAATTAATCTTTGACATCTCGTTTCGTTTTCTCTCCCCCCTCTCTCTCCCCATCAAATCAATGATATAAGATCATACAGCTGAGGCATTGTTACCATCAAATACATCGATCGTCTCAACACATCTCTCTCAATCATTTTTACAATTATCAATACCGAAATTATATTATTTAGCTGACAGTGTAGTAAAACAGCTGACTATTGAAATGTTCAATGCTCAGTTATCACCAATTATGGAAGTGAATCAATTTATGTAAGTTTTTGATTGATTTATTTATCAGAAAAAAATGTTTTCTCATGATTATTTATGTTTAACTATTTTTGGGCAGAGTTTTGGAGGGTGGTTTGTGTTTTTTTTGTACACATTTGAAATCATCAATCAATCAATCATTGTTGTTAGACCACCACCATTAGGGAAACCTGGAAGCACTGGACGGCCGTTTCGTCCTGGTATGGGACTATGCATCAGTGGCAGTGCGCATCCACGACTCCTGCTCCTCGCAGGATTCGAACCCGGGACCCTTGGCATTGTAGGCGAACGCTTAACCATCGGACCGCTGGGCCGTCATCCAACGGTGTTAATGTCTAACTCTGATTGATCTAAGGATTTTGCGCGACCTCACCTATTTGTCTTTGGTAGTTACTGCCTACACCCGACAGAGTTGAACTCCTCCATTGATCACGTCTTCTCAACTAGAACTCTGAGAATTTCCTCACGAAGAAGCTAGTCACTAATGAACACTGTTTCGATATTTTGGGGCACAGTTTTGGAGATTTGTGTTTTTACACATTTGAAATCACCAGTCAATCAATCATTGTTAGACCAGCACCATTTGAAACCTGGAAGCACCACTGGACGGCCGTTTCGTCCTGGTGATCATTTCAAATGTGTAAAAAAAAACACAAACCTCCAAAACTCCAACTGAAAATATCGTAACAGTGCTCACTGGTAACTAACTCTGTGAGTTCTAGTTGAGAAGACGTAACCAATGGAGCTCAACCCTGTCGGGTGTAGGCAGTAACTACCAAAGACAAATGGATGAGGTCTCTCAAAATACCTAGATCAATCAGAGCTAGACATTAACACCATTGGATGCCGGCCAGCACAGTGGTCCGATGGTTAGGCGTTCGTGCTAACTACCGAAGGTCCCTGGTTCGAACCCTGCGAGGTTCGGGAGTGGTGGATGCACACTTCCACTGATGAGTCCCATACTAGGACGAAACGGCCGTCTTCCAGGTTTCTAATGGTGGTCTAACATTGATCGATTCATCGTTACAAATGAACATCGTATGTAAATATTTGTTCTGTTGAATTTTAATGTTGAGATGAATGAATTTTTCATTAATAATAATGATTGGCAGTTGGACGTAAGCAGTTCAGGAATCGACTTCTTATTAACGTTTTATTCTTTTCTCAACAGACTGTTAGTCACCAAAATGTCTGGCATTGTACGTTTCTGAACCTTGCGAAGTGAGAGCTCGTAAACTTTTTATATATATCTGCCTGAATAGATTATGCGATCAATAGACATAATTGACGTGGTAAAACAAACAGAAAGAGGTAACCCGTTGAAATGTTTGGATTTTAGAAAACAAGTAACTCAGATATTCAAGCAGGCTGTCAGTAAAACATCTCAAATCGATCTTAATTAGACAGTATTCGAAAATCAGGAAACATCGACAAACTCCCTGGTTCTAGTCGGAAACTCCACGATTACAACAAAGATTTAGTCCAAAATCTTTGTGTTACGTATGCCAAACCACTGACTGCCTCCTCGAGCAATGTTTTGCGATATAGGTGTAGCTTGGACGAAAGCTAAGGGTGGCCAAACCAAAACATGGCACAAATCCATGAAGTCACTGACAACTAGACCGAGCCATGTTGGTAAAGTGTAGACTACCTGGTTGGGACTCGCGAGATGATATTAATCGATGGTTAGAGACCCTGGATGACACGGCTCAAAATCGTTTGCAATGGCGCAGATGCATCCACTCTTTGTGGTTTCTTAAATGTTATTCCTCTGGATTCTTCATTCGTTCTCTATTTTTCTCTTTTTAAAGTTATCTCACTAGATTATACTTCTTGAATAATATTGTCGAACCCTAATCTCTCCGATTATTGCTAATGCTTTTAATAACTCTACTACTATAGGATTCGAATTGACATTTGCATCTCTGTGTGCTAATATGGTATGTCAACTTGAACTGATGTATGTACGTATGAAGTTCTATGTTGTTGTTGACTTACTGACTGACTAGACTGACTTTGAATCTTTGTACAATCACTTAACCTCTAGATCGATAGATCCTAAAGTTATTTGGAATGTGGGCGATATTGTGCATTCATTATCTATTGTCGTTGATGACTGACTGCCTCACACTCACTATGCTTGAACTCAACTCATTGGAGCTTTAAGAATTACCTCTCAAAATAAATCATTATCACACCCATGACTATTAATTATTATAGGTGACTTGTGTCAATTTTTAAACATTGTGGATTTACATTATAAAATGATCTTTGACAAACTCAGCAGCCATTGGATAGTGTTTTGATCTTAGTATAGGATTCTTCACTGAGGTCTATTCAGTGTAAGATCCATTTCTTTGAAGGCTTCGTTTGTGAAAATTCCTTCATGTATACATTTGTAATTTGTCCTTATTGATTCTTTCATTTGTACATTTTGTGTAGTCTGTTCGATTCCATTTTGAGATGATAATATTTACCATTTTATTATAGTTTCTGATTCTTTCGCCTTTATCTGAGTTTTTATGTTTCTTTCTGAACTGCATTTATTATGTTGTTTAAGCTAATACTTAGCCATGGCGACAGCCTTATTGATTTGTCCCTCTTTTGATTGGATTGCTTGCTACTGACTGGAATTGTGCATTTTGATTGTGAATTGAAGCATTCTTCCAGAATTGGAAACATTCTGTGTTATAAAACGACCAAATACTATCTGTCGAACGAATCTGATCTATCCAGAAGGGATAGAATATCAGTTATCCGTCGCTGTGGATTTGATCAACTGAACAATTATTGGTGTGTTGGGGATTTTAGATCCCGAAAACTCGCTTCTTAAATGTCTTATTTTGGATTTCACGTCTGCCAGTATGAGCTGATCAGTTGACCTTGAGATTTCATTCCCCACCAGGAAAATCCATGGCTGTGATTGGCTGCTGTGTATTTTAATGTGCAATTTTTTTGTGACTGTCCCAAGGACGTTTCTGTGATGGATGTATAAATAAACGAGAGTTGTATGCTTGATTGTATTGTGTGATTTCTGGGTGTTTGTAGAATAATATACTTTCTACGCTTACAAAGTCTTCTGTCTTCACCTTGGGATTCAAGGTAGCCTATCTGGAAGCTGGTCATTGTCTCGTTCGCGTTTATTGACTAAGGTGAACTCGTAATAGCTTCAAGCGTACCTAGTGACGAACCCTACATGGTGGAATAGCTGAGTGGCAATATTTTTTTAGAATCGTTATTTACCCAGTCACTTATTTTAAATTCAACTAAGCAATAGCGCGTATCTAACCTACCTAGACAATTATTCCTCCATCCACAAACCACAGTTTGTATCCTACATTCAGGTTTCCACACATTAAATCTTCATTATATGTGTTCATTTGTTTTGGGTTTTTTTCATCTCGATAATACCTGGGACACCTGAGTTAGCAACGCTGTTATTAAGAATCGGTTGTTAGGTAAGAATGGCAGATCAATAGATGAAGTAATGAAACTTCATCAGTTCAGGTGGTTGAGATATGTGCTGCGTATGCCTAACCACCGACTGCCTCGTCGAGCTTTGTTTTGTAGTGTAGGAATATGTTGGAAGAAAGCTAGGGGCGGCCAAACCAAAACATGGCACAAATCCATGAAGTCATTGACGAATGGACTTAGCCATGTCGGTAGTTGTCGACTACCTGGTTGGGGTCCGCGAGACGAAAGTCACCAATGGTTAGGGACCTTGAACGACATGGCTAGGAATCGTTCGCAATGGCGCCGGTGCATTTATTTTCTATGTTCTCTCAAATCCTAATCTTCTGGATTCTTCAACACCTCTAATTTTGTCTTTCTAAACTTATCTCACTGAATCATACTTCTTGAATGATATCTTCTAATCCTAATCTCTCCGATTACTTCTAATAACTTTACTACCTCTACTAACTATTATTGGATTTGAATTGACAATTACATCTCTGTGCTAATGTTGTATGGCGACATGAACTGATGTACTTACGTACATACGAAATTCTACTTTGCATCTGACTGATTGACATCTCAATAATTTGTAACTACAATCTTTTTTTGTTTCACACCAATATTCTTTATTTCCATTATTAGATTTGAATTGAATAAACGTCTTTCTGATTTATTACCTCATCCAATGAGAATTTGTTTTCCATCGCGTAATAACAAGAAAAGTATCAACAATCCTCGTACTTCAGATCATGATCATCATCATCATCATCACTGTTCATCTTCATTACATGTTACTTCTACCAATCGGCATGGATTTTATACATATTCTGAAAGAAAAAGTATTTTATTATTTCTTAATTATATTGGTACAATTCTACATGTGAATTATCATAAATTATTGAAAAATTATATATTTTTATCACCTTCATGGTTATTGAATGCCATATTGACAATAATGATACATTTACATAATAAACAATTATTAGGTATGTTTAATAATTATTGTACATTATTGATCAACAACACCACTACCACCACCACTATTGTACAACAGGAGCATCCTGGTGAATCGGTACAATATTCACCAGATATTAGACGATTAAGGCATCAAGTCGGTGATAATAATCATATGGAACATGATGATTCTTCGCATTCGAAACGTAATTTAGGTATGTTCATACTACTTATACACCTGGTTTTTTTCTTGTAGTTTTTTTTATGAATTAAAATATACTACTATTTTTTTAATAAGTAGTGTACTGATGCTAATCAATATTTACGTTTCGTCTGTTCTTTATTGTGTACAGTGTTACTGCATGAACTAACAATGGTTCACTCCAGTTCTTGTGTTTGTTATAACTGATTTATGAATTTACATTTACCAGTGAAAATGCAAAGGCAACAGATTGTAGATAAGTGTACAAACTACAATGTTTTATGTACTAAACTGTTAATTCTTTGAGTTAATATCTTTAGAATCACTCTAAAATTACTTTGGTCTAAGAGTATTCGTTCTTTTTTATATAAGCTTAACACAAATTGGTTGTAACATACCAAAGTCGATAGTCAGCCAAACATAATCAGCATGAAAGTCAGTCAGTCAGTCAGATGCAACGTAGAACTTCGTACGTAAGTACATCAGTTCATGTCGCCATACCACATCAGCACAGAGAGATATAATTGTCAATTCAAATCTAATAGGAGTAGAGGTAGTAAAGGTATTAGAAGTTTACGGAGACGTTAGGATTAGAAGATATTATTCAAGAAGTATGATTCAGTGAGAAAAAGTTTAGAAAGTCAAAACTAGAAGTGTTAAAGAATCCAGAAGATTAAGATTTGAGAGAACACAAAGCATAAATGCACCGGCGCAATTGCAAATGATTTTGAGCCATGTCATTCAGCGTCTCTAACTATCGATTACTATAATCTCGTGGACCCCAACCATGTAGTCAACAACTACCAACATGACTCCATCCACTTGTCAATGACTTCATGGATTTGTGCCATGTTTTGGTTTGGCCGCCCCTAACTTTCTTCAAACCAATTCCTACACTACAAAACAAAGCTCGTTGAGGCAGTCGGTCGTTAGGCATACGTAACACATGTCCCAACCACCTTAACTGATGAAGTTTCATTACTTCATCTATTGATCTGCATGAAAACAGGATAAAAATGTGTATTAGCTAAAGTGTTACCGTTCAATATTATGCTTACACAATAAAATTAACATGATGATTAGCAGAGAACTCAAAATAAAGTAATATCGATGAGAATGAGAAAGACTAAGCGTTGAGAATCAGCCTAGAAACGATCGTTTATTGGCTGCGATTTTCGACCAATTAAATGTGCTATGAAATAAAGCTTCCCCCTCAGTTTGCATATATCATACTTATACAGACCCCGTTTGTGCGACGGTGTTGATAAGAAGGCGAATATGCATTCAAGTTGGATGAGTTTATTTCACACAATCGTTCGTTCAAACCGACACATGAGAATACATAGCGTAAACGCAAAGCGAAGCTAAGTGAAGAAGGCGAATGAGTCAACTCAATGCGATAAAGCATAATTAAGTATCTTTAATCACGCAAGAATAGCCTAGACGTATAAAAGGCTAAGTAAGCAATACACTCACATACCTAAATAAAAACAACCAAGATTAAAAACGAATAACTGACAAGGTCAAAAGACGAATGAATGTTAACTCGGGTAGAAAAAGATTAATTACTTTGTCTGAAAGTTTGGATAAACAATATGGGCCCACCATATTGCTACACTCATTATAATAGAATTAATGAATTGTGAAACATAAAATCTAAGGAAAAGTATGATCAATGCATTTGAAGTGTTATGATTGATTCCAACTACTAATTTAAGTTACTACCACTTGGACTTCCATTATTTCGTTTCGTTCAATTTTGAGGCTTGTCAGTTGGATGTACCTGCATCCGAGAGCTGATGTTCTTTCCGCGATTCGAACCAAGTACCGTTTGCTTCAAACTACGCGTTTTTCACTTGTCTACTGACGAGTACCAGGATAGGACGAAACTCGCGTCCTAGACCCCATAGGAAGCACTATCCCTCCACCTCTGCTAGTAATGCTTGTAACCTAAAGGTAATATTGAGGCAATGCACACATTGACTAATTAGAATGACTGTCTAAACCACCAATGAGTAGATTTAACACAATTTATACAAATTAATGTAACCATTATTTGCATCCATATAAAATACCTTAATGCATAGAATCGTTTTTGATAAAAGATCGACTGTAGTGAAGGAGAACACAGGTGGGGCAACCGGATTGTATTTAACGAAAATTACAGAGTTACTCAGTAAAATAGGAAAACCATATCGTAAATCGTCAATTTGCAAAATATCAGTTCATCATATGGAACTGGACTATTCCTGTTGCAAAACATCAATCCATTGTCACTATTCATGCGTTTCATACAAATTCCATTGTGTTCTAACTCTTCCTTTCTTGTTCTCCCCCCATCTTCTGCTGCCAGACATTGCGTTGACACTCACGTCATATACTACTTATAAGTAGCTCGCACCACACTCGTCCCCCATTTTAATAAGCTGTCGTCGTAGTCTTTCAAAACAGGGACCCTGATCAGTTAATATCACCTTGCGTATTCCGTGACGCGCTACAATATGCCGGATTACTACTTCGGTCATTGTTCTTGCCCGTTCGTCTGGAATCGGTATGGCATCTATCCAACGTGTAGCGTTTACTAGTTCCCGCTGCTGGGACACGGCAGCAGGCACACTCTCGATAAATTGCGACGCCAACAACTGTGCCCCCGACTCCCCATCCATACTCGGCAGCGTACGGCGCAGAAACATCGTGAGCTCCACAGCCAGCACCAACGGGTCACCATCAGCCGACAGCCTCGCCAACTGGAACCACTGCGGCGCCTCCTCCCTGTCCACCGGGCTGTCGAACTCCGTCATAAGCCGCCCGGTGACCGTCTCCCACGCCGTCTTCCCGGCGGCACCGTCCAGACTGTCGTATACAGCCTTCGCCTCACCTCCCCGCAGCGTCCTCAGCACCACCAACTCCGCTCCGTGCCCCTCCACCGCGGCCTCAAACTCCTCCAGGAAGCTCCGCAAATCTCCGTCGTCCAACTCCTTCGGCCACGAGAGCTCCTTCCTTCGAGCAGGCAGCGACACCAAATGTAGTGAACGAGAACAGTTAATTTTGTTTGTTCATTAAAAGTGTATAGATAACTGTTAGGATATTCATCCAATATCCTAAATGAATTATTTTGTAAGTCTGATTCTATTGGTCAATTCCTATTGGTCGTCCTAACTATCAATGTCACATCATTCAAATATTGCTTCCTATTCGACCTAACTGTAAAAATATGCATTATGTGTAACGTTTTATGATCCGGACCCTGATCCCTAGTCCGAGATCCTTAGCCTTTTCTGGACTCGGACCTCGTACTTTCTAGATGCTTGTATAATACCCGTCCTACTTCATATAAAGTCTTCTTCTTTTATTTAATGGGGGTTTGGGACAATCGGATTAGAGTAGCATGTCGTGTCGCCGGATCATCAATCCTCGCTCTTGCTTACCGACTAAGGTAAACTCGTAATAAATAGTTCAAGCATTCTCAAATGACGCGTTTACGTGCATGCGTAATAATAACAATATTTCATGTTTTTTTTGCTCCCCCTTTTCCTACTACTATCTCTTTTTTTCTATCATATCTAGCTGTGATCAATTCATCGTATTTAATCGATTTGATGAAATGTTTCATCAAACGTACCAGCTCAACGACCACCAATCATAACAATCATGATCATATTTATTCAACTTACAATAACACCATACCATTGGAGGATATTTTTATGCGATTATTTCAACAGTTTGATTTGATTGTATCGATTATGAGTAATCGTGATGATGACGGTGTTGTTGATGATGTTCACAGATATGAAGAGTCTCTTCATTTTAGGAATAAGAACAGAAGGTTGACAAAACAATTAATATTATTGCCATCATTATTGGCTGCACGTTGTTTTCAACCGAAACGTTTACATTCTTATTTTAAACCAGCAGTAATTCGATATAAGGTAAAAAAGTAAAGTTGATTGATTGAAATATATATACATTGTCTACGAAAAAAAATCAATTTCCACGGGTTTTTGTGGTAATCAGAGAATTTTTGGGGCAGAGTTTTGGAGGTTTGTGTTTGTTTTGCACATTTGAAATCATCAATCAATCAATCAATCATTGTTAGACCACCATCATTAGAAACCTGGAAGCACTGAAAGACGGCCGTTTCATCCTGGTATGGGATAACATATCAGCAGTGCGCATCAGACAAGTGCCATGGTTTGCATAGAGAACTAATCTGAACTATATTGTCAGTGAAAACCTTGAGCGCTCTGGACGACCGTCTGATTCTAAATTCACGCGGCAAAAAGACAACATCAATTGGAATAAGTTCAGTGGTAAAACAGCTTTGAGAGTCAACAGCTAAGTTGTTATTGATTCACAATACTCTAGGTTCATGTTGCTCTGCTCTTGACTTCAAAAATCAGTCTACACTATAATTGTATCTCAGGAAGATATAGTTTCTATACAAGCAGGCTGGGGAAGTATCTGTTGGAGACGTTAGATTCCTAGAACTCACTGTTGGAAAAGGTCCTCATTTTGGATTATTTTTTTGTGTTTTGGCGCATAAGTTGCTCAGTTGACCTTGAGCTTACATTTCCCACCAGTCAAATCCTGGACTGTCATTGGTTGATGGGTTGTTTTAGTACAGTATTTTGTGGCTCTCCCACGGGCGTTTCTATCTTTGTATAAATCAGCTTGATTTGTGCGCTTGTTAACGTCGTATTTTCTGGATGCTTGTAGAATACATTCTGTCTACGTTAGTTAGTTAGGCGGGCCTGGAACAATCGAATTAGAATAGTCTATCGTGTCACTGGATCATTTGTCTTCGCTCTCATTTATCGACTAAGGTGAACTCGTAATAAAATTCAAGCATTTTAATTGATGAGCATATCATTACCACACCTTGTAACCATAAATGATCAAGCGAAAATGTGACTGTAATTATTATGCCAAAGAACATACATAATAATCCTTGGTCTACAATCAGCAACACACATCCATGACGTTGCACTTGACAATTGAACCCAACACATTTGGTATTGCACACAGGTAGCATCCAGTTTTTCACTGATGATCTAGTTAAGATCAAGTCGTGATTTAACCTGTGAAAACTGCATTGTCTACATCTCCTTGTATGTCAATAATTTTGTACTCACTATCGACCAGCTTCAGCACTCATCTTCTATTATGGGACCATAAACAATGAAGTTCAATACGCATTGATTGGTGATAGAAGATAGTTTTGAAATATCGTGAATTGATCGAAGTTCGTCAATAATATCTGTGTATTTACACATTTGAAATCATCGATCAATCATTGTTAGACCACCATTAGAAACCTGGAAGCCCTGGCATGGGACTCATCAGCAGTGCGCATACAGGACTCCTGCTCCTCGCAGGATTCGAACCCGGGACCTTCGACATTGTAGGCGAACGCCTTATCATCGGACCACTGGGCCCCAAAAGAACATCTGTGTATGTCAGTTCAGTGGCCTAGAGTGTCAGGGTTTCGTGTGAGAGGCTCGGGTTTGATTCCCGGACGCGAGGTAGTGGTCGACGTCTGTAAAGGAGTTTTATGTGCTTTCTGGTTTCCTCTGATGATCCAAATTATTTTACTTCAATCACTCTAACGAATCAGTAACCATGACTAAGTCATTTTACCGTTTCGTACGTAACTACTCAAACAATATTCAGTAGTGTAAATTTATTTCCTCTAACAGATCTACTTGATCTAACGTGAACAGTCATCGTAAACCATGGAGGACTGAGCGGATATTTCACTCTTTTATTTTATTCTTCAATAAAGTGTATTTGTGACCGTACTTAGAATCGAACACAGGTGCTTCTCCTTTCCCATGTTACACGTATACAGCCTTAATCGTATCAAATCTTTTGATTTTTACTGCATAAACTATAGTGGAAATAAAGCTCCCATATTCACAATTCAAAAGTTTGAAACTTTTGGTGACTGTTAAGCAGTTGGTCATTGGTGTAGGTGCCTAAGAGTTTAAAGACAGAGAATTTTAGTTATCGATTAACTGTGTAAGTTTAGCAATAATTTTTAGTTAGGTAAATATTAAGGTCTTGTGATGATGTACAATGCTGAGATCTAGTTGAAATACGAGCTAACTCCCCAAGGAGCAAGGAGGTAAGAACAGTGCTGAAATCTCTATTTGGCCATCATCAAATTTGTACCATTCATCATCTATATCTATGTATATATATGTATTTCACTTAGAAAAGGAAACCATTTCATGACCAATGATGTGCATTCGTCCTTCAAGATTTTGCCGATGATCATTGGACGGCTTTCTTGTTTTGGCCACTTCTGATTGGTTCAATATATTTAAGTTGACTTAGTAAAACAATTAATTAGTAGTATATCTCTAAAATGCTCTAACAGATTTCATCTTATTTTAAACAAAAACACTTGTTATTATTATTATTATTATTATTATTATTATTATTATTATTATTATTATTATTATTATTATTATTGTTAGTCGAACTATCCACCTACGAAACAAAGACCATGTCTTCGTTCTCAATCACTTGATCTTTCAACTTATCGATCGAGGCACAATTTACACCAACAGCAACCTGTAAATAATGTGAATAAAATTGACAATGATCAGTCACAATTATTAAGTTGGTGTGTTCATACTTCAGTGAGTAAAGAAATTGTTCGACTGTATGCTGTTACTTATATACCACCTGGATTTTGGATTGAATTAAATAGACGACTATTGAATGATCGAAGTTTACATGAAATTTGTGGGTAAGTTGTTGAAGTAATCTGCGTTAGATTTCTTTATGTACATATGAGAAGACTGATGCAGGCAAATTTACACTCTGAGTCAATTAACAACGAAAACATTACATTGAACACTCTATTTACACACCATCTTTGAGTTGTGACTTCCAACGCTCCATCCTTCTTCCATTCCTGTTGTTGCTTCCTTCCCTTCCTGTTGGTACTCTATTTACTTGTTGCTTTTGCTCCATTTGCTTTCCGTTTTCGTCTTCTCCGTGAGACTTCTTTCACGTCCCTTCTTATACTACTTACATCGTTCGTATAAGTAGCACACACCACATATATATTAAAAGTGTGCTCTTAAGTTTTTGTCATTACACTGCGAAGAGTTACATCTCTTTGGGTAATCTGTAAAAGAAACTAAATTATAGGCGTTCATCATAATCTCGAGATGCGTGATTCCAGTAGATGAAAGATCAGTGCTTGAGGTCAGTCTTGTATATGCTTTCAGTTAGTATTAAGTTTGTTAGACCCTATCACCGCATCAGAAGACAATCCCTCGCAGGAGAAGAGGAAGAGCAAATAACACATAACACTAAGAATCGGAAACAGACATCAAAAGAATGAACCGCAATTAGATAGAACTGGAAAAGAAGGCTTAGGTCAGAATAGGTTCGAGAATGCTGGTCGACAGCTTATGCTCCATTAAGGATAATAGGCGTAAGTAAGTAAATAAGTATCTCTATAATACGCTACCATGGGTGAAGGATATATGAGACAAGGTGAAGTGTACTATTTTATTACTGTTAATCTCACTGTAGTTCAACAAACATAAGTAGTATGATTGATCCTCAAGAAAAAATTATCCCAACCAATATATACTGAAAAATCGTACAATGTGCTCACTAGTGACTAGCTTCATGAGAAAATTTTCGAAATTCTAGTGAGAAGACGTAACCATTGGAGCTCAACCCTGTCGGGTGTAGGCAGTAACTATCGAACACAATGATTGAGGTTGTGCAAAATCTCTAGATTGGTCAGAGTTAAACATTAACACCGTTGGATGCCGGCCGGCCCAGTGGTTTAGATGTTAGGTATTTTTGCGCAAGATCGAAGTCCTTGGGTTCGAATCCTGAGAGTAGCAGGTGTCGCGGATGCGCACTGCCACTGATGAGCAGTCCCATACTAGGACGAAACAGTTGTCCAGTGCTTCCAGGTTTCTAATGATGGTCTAACAATCGTTACTTTATGATTTCAGTGGTAAACACCAGTCTCCATAACTCTGTCAAATATATGTATATTTATAATTCGATTAAGTCATCATGATATTCAAGCCGAATCACCTTATTAAATAAGCAGTTATAATTAAAACTGAAGTTAACATTGATTCGCTCACACATATTTCACTGTATGTGATAAAATTTTTGATATTCCTGTTGGGGGACGTTAGATCCTCTGAGCTCACCTGATATAAAGGTCCTAATTTCGGATTATATGCTTTCATGCATAGGTTGATCACTTGACCTTGAGATTATATTTCCCACGCGGGAAATCCGTATTGTTATTGGTTGATGTATTAGTTTAGCACGTTATTTTTGTGGCTCTCCCAAGCACGTTTCTATCATGTATAAATAAACTCGATTTGTGTGCTTATCAACCTCAAATTTTCTGGGTGCTTGTAGAATACACTTTCTACGCTTTATCAACACTTCTTCATCTACTTAGTGGGGCCTTGGGACGCTTGGATTAGAGTAGCCGATCGTGTCGCTGGATCATCATTTGTGTACGCTCTTGTTTACCGACTTAGGTGAACTCGTAATAGTAGCATTCAAGCATATATCCGTTGACGAGCCTATCAATTTGTTATGCCTGCACGTAAACACATCAACTTGATATACTTGAACTATTACGAGTTTACCTAGTCGGAAAACGAGACCGAGGGTCCGGCGACACGACATGTTATTCAAATCCGATTATCCCAACTTCCATATTTAGCAAAAATAAGAAGACTTGAATGTAGAGTAGAACCTGCATTCTACAAGCATCCAGAAAGTATGAGGTCCGAATCCAGAAGACAATCAGGTTCCCGAATTAGGGATCCGGGACCGGGTCCTGGTCATAAAACGTTACGTATAATGCGTATTTATACATCGAATTCTGTGACATTGACAGTTTAGGACGACCAATAGGAAGCAACATTTGAAGTGACATTGACATTCAGGACAACCAATCAGAAAGAACATTTGAAATGACATTGACAGTCCGGATGACCAATAAGAGACAACATGGAAGTATTTGACTTTGACAGTTAAAACGACCATAATTTTGACCAATAGAATATTGGATGAATATCCTAACACAATTCCTGATAATTTTTATGCTAATAGAGTTTATGGTTGATCATATGTTTTCTTTTGTTTTCAGACGTATTTATAATTTATCAAAATTGCCGCCCAAGTTGTTTGAACAATTAATCAATAACAATTCAGAACATAATGACAATTTCATTCCTAACTATTCATCCAATGGCACTATTCATACTGATGTTGATGCCGATGATGCCGATGATGATGATGATGATGATGATGATGATGTTGATGAGAATATTGACAATGGTGGTCGTCATACATCATCACACTGTAATCATCGTGATAATCACAATTTAAAACCTGAATGGACAATATGGAAACGTGGTATGCGTTTATCACTTGGTCATGGTCAAATTGGTTTAGCACGTTTACAACAATTGACACGAGCTAATTGTGCTTTATTACGAGTAGGTTTTGTAGTGGAGAGATTGTGATGATTGTTTAAAATTAATAATAATAATAATAATAATAATAATAATAATAATAATGAAATTTAAAACAATTAGTCCCTTTTGTAAAAATTTTTGTTAGGACAACTGTTACGCATGAATGTCAACATGTTAATTTGATAGGCTTGAATTATTACAAGTTTACCTCAGTCAGTAAATGAGAGTGAGGATCGAGGATCTGGTGACACGACAGGCTAATCTAATCCCAGTGTCCCAACCCCCATATTGAGTAAAAGGAGAAGACTTGATATGAAGTAGAACGGGTATTCTACAAACATCCAGATAGTACGAAGTATGAGTCCAGAAGAAGGCAAGGATCCATGTTATAAAACGTTACAGATTGCTTACTTACTTACTTACGCCTGTTACCCTCAATGGAGCATAGGCCGCCCACAAGTTTTCTCCAACCAATTCTGTCTGTCCTGGGCTTCCCTTTCCAATTCTGTCCAGTTTTTGTTCATTCTTCTCATGTCTTTCTCTATTTCTCGGCGTAATGTGTTCCTTGGCCTTCCTCTTTTCCTTTGACCTTGAGGGTTCCAAGTGAGGGCTTGTCTTGTGACGCAGTTCGGTGCTTTCCGCAGTGTGTCCTATCCACTTCCAGCGCTTCTTCCTGATTTCCTTCTCCACCGGAATGTGGTTTGTTCTCTCCTACAGTAAGTAGTTGTTGATCGTGTCTGTCCAACGATTCCGAAGTATTTTGCGAAGACAACTGTTCACAAAAACTTGTATCTTGTGGATGATGGCTTTCCTAGTTCTCCAAGTTTCCGCTCCATACAGTAGAACTAAAACGTTACAAATAATCCGTATTTATACAGTTAGGTCGTATAGGAATTGATCAATAATTCTGTTAGGATATTAAATGAATATCCTAACAACAACAATGAGATGATATAATCAGTCTGAAAATAGGTGATTTATTTGCGCGCTATACATTTTTCGAACAATCTGGTTACACGATTTTTTAGTGCCGATTGAGTCGAGATTGACTATGATCACCACTAAATACTAAGTATGAACCCATCACTGAGAATACGTTTGCTGGCGATTTTGTGGTGCCGAAAGAACACCGAAATCGTGCCAGAAAAGACGTGTGAGATTACAGAAATGTTGAAGCAAAGGATGACAGCAACATAAACAGAAAGTTTGTGTGCGTAAACAGGTGTGTTATAAACAAAGAGATCCAGTTAAACAATCACTGGTACAATTGGTTTAAAATAATGAATGTTTCCTTTAAACTAATCACGTTCTCTTCATCAAAGTGGATTTACTGTCAAGACAGTTTATATGACGATGAATAAAAGGTCAATTAGACAAAATTTGATACTTGTAAATGAGGGAGAGAAAAAATTACCATAATATAAGAAAGGGTAGGAAATTGTCACATTACCGTAGGCTATTTATACCAAGGTTATAATGATAAATTGTTTCTGTACACATATGGGTGACTGTTTCATTTACGAATAGCCGAAGCTTGATGAACATGGTTTTCTGTTTCCCACGTTTACCGGCTCATCTGAAATTGACTGGTTTTGAAGCCACTTAGATACATTTTCCATAAGCTTTGATTGTAAACTAGGATTACTTCTCCTTATATATGTGTGTCCCTTTCTTATTCTGTCCACATAACGTTAATTTTCTCTCTCCTTCATTTACAATTATCATCTTTTGTCTGATTGAACTTTTATTAATCGTCATATAAGAGATGCCTTGGCAGGTGAATACGTGTGACCAGATTGTTTGAAATGTTTAGCGTGCAAATACATCACATTTCTCATCAGATCAATTACCTCTTCTCACTGTTCTATCAAAATAATAATGAAGTTTAGGGTGGTGGAAAAAATTTGTAGCTCAGGTGGTTTGGTTGTGGAGCTTTCATTGTTCTTCTTCCGAACAACATCATCATCAACACAAACTTCAGATAGCAGAAGTGAAGCATTCGAATTTCTCCTCTGTTGACCCGTAGCTTATTCTGTTAACCTCAATCTTGAATGGTTGTTATTGACCTTAAACTGGTCATTGTCCCTCTTCGGTCTGTTTCTTGATCCAATGTTTGTCCATGATTTTTCTGATTGGTCGATAAATTTAGTCAATGTCAATGTGTGTTTGTTGATTGCTAATTGACCCGAGTGCCAAGCTTGTAAAAATCTCCCCTATCCAGTATTTCCACATTGTTCCAGTCGAAACATATGCCCATAGTTGTTCGTATTATGTATTGTTATTCGGGGAAGAAATGTCTTGACGTTTGACTGCTAATTGATATTCACTCCAGACGAAGCTGAACAGCTGAACAGAACGTCCACTTTGTTTGATATAGTGTTTTTTACATTACGGGGTTGTGAAGATTGTTCATTTTTATTGAAACCATGAATCGATCAATGCTAGACCACTATTAGAAACCTGGAAGCACTGGACAGCCGTTTCGCCCTGGTATGAGACTCCTCAGCAGTGCGCATCCACGATTCCTGCACCCCAGAGGATTCGAACCCAGGACCTTCGGTATTGTAAAGGAACGCCTAACCATCGGACCACTGAACCGGTATCTAACTGTGTTAATGTCTAACTTGATCAATTCATGGAGTTGCGCAACCTTATACACAGTCTTCGGTAGTAGTTACTGTCTACACCTGGGACAGGTTGAACTTCACTGGTCACATCTTCCCACTAGAGAACTCGGAGAAGATTCCTCACCAAACTAGTCGTGGTCACTAATGAGCACAGGTAATTTACATTCACAATCTTAGCAATTTATTTTTGTACATGAGATATTTAATTTCTCTTCCTTTGTCATTTTATCTTAATTTGCTCCCTATATACATCAATACATTGTATTTCCCTATTGATTTCAGAATCAATCACTCAAAAAATCATTAATAAATCTAACCAACACTCGACCATTATCATCACCATCATCATCTTCACGTGCCTTCATCCCCACATCGACTGGCTTAAACAAATCAGATCCATTCATAGCCGATTTGATTATGCAATCAAATCATTTCGATGAATGGGATGAACCATGTGCTATTGTCGGTGAAGAAGTTGCAGGAGCAATAGTTAAACAGCATTCAAATAGCTTCAACTCGTATCAGAATGAATTGTTGATCTCATCGAATTTATCATTGAAAAACAATCATAATCATAATCATAATAGTAATAATGTGGTTTATCGTAGTGGTGTTGTTGAAACTATTAAACATTCCTATGAATCACGGCGATTACGTTTACTGCATTGGATTGTAAATAAGGAGGAGGAGGAAGAAGGAGCACAAGGGAAAGGAGTACAACAACAACAACAGCAACATAAACATGAATCGTTTCAATCGGCTTCACCGATGCTGCCGATGATGATGAGAAAATCAATACCAGAATTGTCATCATCAAATACGATTGGTCCAACACGTACAGTAGCTGATTTTAAAATACGACATCCACATGGTTATTTAACTGATCGAGAACATGGTATTTTCATTGAAAATCGTGTTTTTTTGATGAAAAAATTAAAAAATAGCACACTGAAATCATGAATCGATTAAGGTTAGATCACCATTAGAGAAACTTGGAAGCACTGGGTTATGGGACTGTTCATCAGTGGCAGTGCGCATCCATGATTCCCAGCACAACGCGGGATTTGAAGCTAGGAGCTTCGTTTTTGGGCATGTAAAACGCCTAACCTCTGTACTGTACAGCACTTTGCTCTGTCCTACTATACGGATGCGAAAGATGTCTGTTAAGAGTAGAGGACATTCGTAGGCTACTAGTCTTCGATCATAGGTGTATCCGAAGCATTGCTCGTGTATTCTCGGACAACCGTATAAGCAATGCTGTTGTTAGGAAACGAGTTCTAGGTAGGGATGGCAAATCAGTAGATGAAGTAGTGAAACTTCATCAGTTGAGGTGGTTGAGACATGTGTTACGTATGGCTAACCGTGGACTGCCTTGACGAGCTATGTGTTATGGTGTAGGAGTAGGTTGGAAGAAAGTTAGGGGCGGCCACTCCAAAACATGGCAGAAATCCATGAAGTCACTGACAAGTGGACTGGGTCATGTTGGTAGATATAGGCTATCTGGTTGGGGTCCGCGAGACGATAGTCACCAATGGTTAGAGACCTTGAACGACATGGCTCAAAATCGTTTGCAATGGCGCAGGTGCATCCACTCTTTGTGTTCTATGAAATTCTAATCTTCTGAATTCCTCATAATCTCTATCTTTCTCCTTCGAAATTTATCTCACTGAATTATACTTTTCGAATCATATCTTCGCTTTCTAATCTTTTCCATTGCTGCTAATACTTCTATTATCACTATCACTCTTGGATTTGAAATGACATTTACGTCTATGTGTTGAAGTGGTATGGCAACCTGAACTGATGTACTTATGTACGAAGTTCTGCGTTGTATCTGTCTTTCTGTCTGTCTGTCTGCCTAACCTCTGGACCGGTGAGCCGGTATCTAATGGTGTTAATGTCAAACTTCGATCAATTTTCCGGATTTCATTTTATACATAGACAATGAAATTGTGACATTTTTTGGCGTCAGCCTTTTCTAGCGCCTTCTGTTTTGAGAATTCAGCATCGCTGCAGATGTTGATTTCCCGAGGTAAACACACTACTGTTGTCATGCTCGCCTACAGTCAGTAGTACGACTTTGCTCTCAGACCATTAGTTGTTGTTCTTAGTCTAACCATTCTCTAATCGATCTGCCTAGCATAGTCAAACATAATGAAACATATTTTCCAGCCAATTTATCTCGGTTGCGTCATCCGAATAAGCCAGACTGACCACCTTGTCAACAAGGTAGTGGCAATGGTCGGGTTACACTGGTAATGTATGCTGTAATATCAAGCCTATTTGGAATATTTCAGCCTTTGGACAGTCTGTCTAATTTATTCTTTACGAATCACTATCCACACAGAATTTTACTCACAAACTGTATTGATTAGTTTATTAGAATAAAGACTAATGAAGATCTAATCTAAGGCAATTGTTACGCATGCACGTCAATATGTCATTTGATACGCTTGAACTGTGACGAGTTTACCTTAGTCAGTAAACGAGATCGAGGATCGAGTATTCGGCGAAACGGCAAGCTATTCTAATCCGATATTTTCCAAACATCCATTGAGTAAAAGAAGAAAACTTGATATAAAGTAAAACATGTATTATAAAAACATCCAGAACGTACGAAGTCCGAGCTCAGAAGAGAATAAGGATCCCGGAATGAGGATCCTGGTCATAAAACGTTACGTATTTATACAATTAGGCTGGAAAGGAAACAACATTTGAAGTCGATGACCTTGACAGTTAGAATGACGAATAGGAAACAACATTTGAAGTGACATTGATAGTCAGGACGATCATTAAGAAACAACATTGTAGTACGTGACATAGATATTTCGGACGACCATGAAATTGACCAGTAGGAATTAACCAACAGGAATCGACCAACAGAATTAGACTTACAAATGATCTTCTTAGCATATTTGATGAAGATCTTAACAGTAACTATGTTCTTCTATACATGTGAATTTTTAATAGATTCGTGTCTTGTCGACCATTCACTTATAAGTTCGCACAAAGACGCGGTTAGCCTATGTATAATATACGAAGTTGAATGAAACACTTATTTTTGTTGCATATTTTACCAATTGATTTTGACCAGATTGGTCTCTCGTACTGTTGAGGGTATGAGGGCGGTTGTCACTTCCCCGCTGCCCACACTGTGGAAGGAGTTTTCTTAAGGGACCTGAAAAAGAAGGTAGATTAGTGTTGGTCTTAGAGATCTGGCAGCGTGACTGCAGAGCCCAAGGGACAACTGCTTGAGGCCGGTCACGCACGGCCTTTTGATGAAAGGTTTTTTGGGTATTAGCTCCGCTCTTAAAGGCAATTAGTGGCTACCCTTACCGACGGAGACGGAAATCCGTGAAGTAGGGTGAGGTGTGACATTTGTAGGGTCGACCTTTTCTAATCTTTCCTTCCTTGTGAGAAGTCAGCATCGCTGCAAATGCTGGTTGTCCGAGGGAAACACCTAACTACTGTCACACCCCTCTGCAGTCATCAGTACGACTTCGCCCTCAGACCTTGGGTACCTGCTTTTAATCTCATCGTTCTCCAATCGACCTGCCTAGCATGGTAGAACCTTTAGAAACATATGTTCCAGCCAATATATCTCAGTTGGATCATCACGATAGGCAAGCCCGACCACCACCACGTCAAGGTAGCAGCTACGGTCGGGATCAACGTTTAAAAACCGTAGTTGAATAATGAATGGATCACTGAAAACCATGATTACAATCTTTATAACTCTCACCGAAACAACTGATTCACTGAGATGGCATATGTTGTTACGTTTAACGCTTCACCTCTCTATATACAACTAGACAAGGTTTCATAAAATTCCTTATCAAAGTCATAATATTTTTTGTTTAGAAAATTCAATGTTCAATCATGTATTTATTGGACAGAAAAAAAACTTCGTCTCTATCGTTTTTTTTAAATAAATTCTAGATGCATTTCAAAATTCATGCCTAATTGAAATATATTTACCAAATTCAAATATTTACTGGGAATATAAACAAAATCATAGATATTCAATGATCAATTCTAGTGAAGTACAACAATATTCAACGGAATCTGTCAGTTTCATTCCACATAATCATTCACGTATTGGAGAGAATAATTATTTATGTCCAGATTCTCGAGCAATTGCTGAGCTATTAGTCAAGGTTAGTTAACTAGTTTAATTATTGAATTTGGATGAGGACTTGTTGTTTAAACCTATATGTTCGTCACTAAGTATGCTTGAGGCTATTACGAGTTTGCCTTAGTCGATAAACGCGAACGAGACTTTTACCAGCTTCCAGGTAGGCTACCTTGAATCGGAAGCCGAAGTAAAAAGGCTTTGTAAGCGTAGAAAGTATATTCTACAAACACCCAGCAATCACAGTACAATCAAGCACACGACTCTCGTTTATTTATTCATCATAGAAACGTCCTTGGGACGGTTAAGAAAATAGCACACTAAAATACACAGCATCCAATCAAATTCATGGATAATCCTGGTGGGAAACGTGATCTCAAGGTCAACTGATCAGCCAATGCTGGCACACATAGAATCCAAAACAAGGCATTTAACAAGCGAGTTTTGGGGATCTACCATCACCAACAGTTTAAATCTATGCGGATTTAACTGTTTTAGAAGTATCGATATGTATTATACATTTATCTAATAGTCCTGAACTATCTTTTGAGTTTTGATAGATAAAACGTACGTACTTACACACTTACGAATGTTACCCCCAGTGGAGCATAGGCCGCCGAACAGCATTCTCCAACCTACTCTAACCGTTCCTCACTCTTCTCATGTCGGTCTCCATTTCTCGGCGTAATGTGTTCTTTGCTCTTCGTCTTTGGCTTTGACGATTTCCAGTTAGTGGTTGTCTTGTGAGGCTGTTGGGTGCTTTTCTCAATAAATGTCCTATCCACCTCTGGTGCTTCTTACTAATTTCTTCCTCTGCTGCAATCTGATGTGTTCTTTCATGCAGCATGTAGTTGCTGATTGTGTCTAGCCAACAGATCCTCAGTATCTTGAGTAGATTTACTTACGCCTGTTACCCATAATGCAGCATAGGCTGCCGACCAGAATTTTTCTGGTTAACGTTTTTTTAGCGAGTTGATTTTCTACAGGATGAGGTCTCTAACCCCGTGCCCAACGCTCCTCCTTTATCCGAGCTTGGGACCGGCATTAACCCTAGCAGGGCTCCAGGTGGAGTTAGACCCGGTAGTTTTAACTACTGGTAGTTATCTTAAGTAGACAACTGTTAATAAATACTTGTGTCTTCCGAACGATGGCCTTCGGGACTTTGGTGTTGGTTGTTAGTTGTTCGGAGTCTCAGATGTTCTTCGGTTTTAGAAATGTTGCCTTTACTGATTCACGCCATTCAATCTGCATCAGATCCACCTTGTTCATCAATAATGCTGCCACGATATCTGAAGGTTTTACATCCTCCAAAGCTTCTCCGTCAAATGTGATTTGGTTGGTGCATGTTATGTTGCATTGGAGGAGCTTGTGCATGTTGAGACCTACTTCTGTAGAGGCTGCTGCTACACTTGTCGTCCTCTGCATTTGTTGTTGGATGTGGGATATAAGAGCTAGGTCATCTACGAAGTCCAAATGGTCTGGGTCCATCCTAGCTGTCCACCGTACCCCTTTTCCCCTTCTGAGATGTTGACGTTTTCATAATCCCATCGACCACCAGGAGAAATTTATAGGCAATAGCCAATAATGAATTGGACTTTAATGCAAATAAAAAAAGTCAGTAGTATGTGAAGTACACACATTTTAATAAACACGCAGACATGACATATATTTCATTGTATTTTCGAAATCATCAGCCTGACTATTCATACTTACATCTTAGTTCTTTAGAAAATAGTACTCAAATGCAATAGTTCCTTCGTATTTAGAGTCATAAATTCATGTCATTATGAATATCATTGTATGCCAGGAAACCGTTAGACGACAGTTTCATTCCAGTCTGGTACACCTTAGAAATGCCCACCAATGAATAACTCGTCGTGCAACATACAAACTTAACTTTACTACCAGCAAACTTCTGTAAATCAAATATTTTGAATGTGTTTACCTACTTTTTTCTGGTTAGCGTTTTTTTAATGAGTTCGTTTTCTACAGGATGGGGTCGCTAACCCCCCTTGTCCATCCCTCTCCTACCTTAGCCAGGCTATGAATCGTGTTAGAATATTCATCCAATATCCTGAGAGAATTATTATTGGTCAATTCCTATTGGTTAATTCCTACTGGTCAATTTTATGGCCGTCCTAGATATCAATGTCACGTACTCCAATGTTTTTTCTTATTGGTCGTCTTAACTGTCAATGTTACAGACTTCAATGTCGGTTCCTAGTCGACCAAAATGTATAAATACGCATTATCTGTAACATTTTATGAGCAGAACCACGACCCGGTCCCGTATCCCTAGTCCGGGATCCTGATTGTCTTCTGGACTGGGACCTCGTACTTTCTGGATGCTTGTATAATACATGTCCTACTTCATATCAAGTCTTCTTATTTTTACCCAATTGGGGTTGAAACACTCGGATTAAAGTAGCATGTCATGTCGCCAGATCCTCGATCCTCACTCTCGTTTTTCCGACTAAGTAAACTCGTAATAATAATAATTCAAGCATATCAAGTTGACGTGTTTTTACGTGCAGGCATAACAGATCGTTAGTAGTAGCCTTAGAAGGGGGCTCCAAGTAGAGTTAAACGTTTCGTTTCTAGTTTAACCCCTATTTTTTCCCTATTTTCTTACTTTCCCTTTTTCTCCTCTTACATTCTAGTTAGTTGGTCATATTGACACATTATTAGAAGATTGGTATCCAGATCTTGGTGTAAAATTGAATCAATCAAATGAAGGTGTTTATTTAGTAGAACGTATTATACCATGCTCTGCATGTCTTGCTACACCAAATTGTCAGTTTACTACTACTACTACTACTAATAATAGTCATTCGATTGACAATCCACTTCAAAACATGATGAAACGTTCTTTGTCTACTTCGTCTGTTGGTATTATGATACATAATTCGTTTGATGGAATAAATAATCAATATGCTGGAAACAAGTATGAATGAATGAATTAATTATTGACATTTTTTTTTCATTTTATTATTCATATTTTTACATTTATGTTTCTGTTTTTAATTCTCTATTTATGACCTCTACCCAGCTATTCTTATTGCTTAGTTAGTGTATTCTCAGACATCAATCCACTCGAGATGTTTTCGTGAAATCAGAATATATTTGAATAGGAATAGAGATTATATTTTTACTACATCAACTTCATTGACTACGAGAAAGTATTCGATAGCGTGGACAGGATAACACTATAGAGGCTTCTTCGACACTACGGTGTGCCTGAGAAGATAGTCAACACCATACGGAATTCTTATGATGGATTCAACTGCAAAATCGTGCATGGAGGTCAGCTGACAAACTCGTTTGAGGTGAAGACTGGTGTAAGGCAAGATTGCTTACTCTCACCCTTTCTCTTTCTCCTGGTCATTGACTGGATGAAAATAACGTCAGCATCTGGAGGGAAGCACGGTATTCAATGAATAGCTAGGACGCAGCTGGACGATTTGGACTTCGCAGATGAATGCAAGAGAAGACAACCAGCGTAGCAGCAGCCTCTGCAGCAGTAGCTCTCAACATACATAAAGGTAAAAGTAAGATTCTACGATACAACTCAACATGCACCAACCAAATCACTCTTGATGAAGATGCCTTGGAGGACGTTAACACCTTTACATATCTTGGCAGCATCATCGACGAGAAAGGTGGATCGGATGCAGATGTGAGGGCGCGGATTGGCAAAGCGAGGGCTGCATTTCTACAGTTGAAAAATATCTGGAACTCCAAACAACTTTCAATCAACACCAAAATCAAAATTTTCAATACAAATGTCAAGAAAGTTCTATGATATGAAGCGAAAACTTGGAGAACTACCAAAGCCATCATCCAGAAGATACAAGTATTTATGAACAGCTGTCTAAGCGAAATACTTCGGATTCGTTGGCCAGACACCATCAGCAACAACGTAGTGTGGGAGAAAACAAACCAGATTGCAGTGGAGGAGGAAATCAGGAAGAAGCGGTGGAAGTGGATAGGACACACACTACGAAAAGCACCCAAATGCATCACGAGACAAGCCCTGACTTTGAAACCTTCAAGAACAAAGGAAAAGAGGAAGGCCAAGGAACACATTACGCCGAGAAATAGAGAAAGAAATGAGAAGAATGAACAAAAATTGGACAGAACTGGAAAGGGAAGCCCATGACAGAGTAGATTGGAGAAAACTAGTGAGCGGCCTATGCTCCATTGGGGGTAACAGGCGTAAGTAAGTAAGTAGAGATTATATTCCAAATAGCAAAGTTAAATGGAAGTAAGATGCTGAAACAAGGGTGAAATAGTAACAGCGTTAGTATCTTTGTAGTTTTTTTTACACGAGAAGCTCCTAGAATGTTCTGCAAGTATCGACTACCGGTGATTGGTTAAGAATTAGCCAATCAGCGTGTGCAGCTAACGCAATCATGCTTTAATCTCATCTATGTACCGCTAACAGTTTCACTCAATGGTTACTAGTCACCTCTACATATGCTTCTTATACACATGTTCATGCAACTTTGTGAGTGTGTAGAATAAACTAAAACTGTAATTGTTCGACGGAATGAATTGGCACACACATATCACAGCTTTATGTACGATTGTTCTACTCTGACCTTGATATGCTCGTCGATTGGAATGCTTGAATGTTATTACGAGTTCACCTTACCCGGTAAACGGAGCGCAGATCAATGATTCAGTGACACGATAGGTTATTCTAATCGGTTTGTCCCAGCCCTAGCTAACTAAATCAAGAAATCTTAATAAGGAGTAGAGAATGTATTCTACAGGCATCCAGAAAATACTAGGTTGACAAGCACACAAATCGAGTTTATTTATTCAACATGATAGAAACGCCCCTGGTGTGAGCCACAAAAATAACATATTAAAATAATCCACCAACCAATTACAGTCCAGGATTTTCCGAGTGGAAAATGCAACCTTAAGGTCAACTGAGCGACTTACGCGCAGAAATGTAACAAATCCAAAATTAGGACCTTTAAGAAGTGAGTTTTGGTGATCTTGCCTGATTAGAAATACTTAGTCATACCTAATTGCATTGAGTTGGCTCACTCGCCTTCTCCACTTCGCTTTGCTTTTACACTCCGTATTCTCATGTGTTGGCCTGCATGAAATAAACTCGTCCGACTGAATCTGTATTTGGCTTCTTAATCTCCTGAGCACAATATTTTGAGATTGAAGGGAAGATTTTTCATTTCATAGTAAATTCAATTGTTCTACCGAATTCCAGTCAGATTGTGGGCCACTAAAATATACATACATATGCGACTTGATCTTTACGAAATTACGTTAACGGGATTGGGTTGGTAATTCTTTGCCCAACCTTGTTTTATTCAGATTTAGAATCGTCGATAAGCCTATAATGTAGTATAGGAATTGGAAACCTATTTCTTTCAAAATCTTTTTTTTATCTTGTTTTAATCAACTTTGCTTTTACACGATAGGAAATTATCTAAATCTGTACAATTTTTAAATTACGCGGATAATGATGAATTAAAACAATCAAATTTGAATTCATCTGTATTATCAATATCCAATGATTTATTAACTAAAAAAGAATTTGTAAATTCATATTCTGCAAAGAATAATAATAATAATAATATAATCACAGAGGAATATTCAACACGTCGTAATTCATCCAAGTAAGTATAATCTATCTTGTTTACCCATATTGTGGTGTGAGCTACTTATAAGTAGTATATGACGTGAGTGTCAACGTAACGTCTGGCAGCAGAAGATGGGGGAAGATCAAGTAAGGAAGAGTTCGAAAACAATGGAATTTGTATGAAACGCATGAATAGTGACAATGGATTGATGTTTTGCAACAGGAACAGTCCAGTTCGATATGATGGACTGATATTTCGCAAATTAACGATTTACGATATGGTTTTCCGATTTTACTGAGTAACTCTGTAATTTTCGCTAATTACAATTCGGTTGCCCTCATCGTGTTCTCCTTCACTACACTTTTACAATACTGGTAGATACCCCCAACACCTCTAGCATATGCCCTCCTATGGTGTGGACTGCTAATGTACGTGGTTTGATTGTCTTACATTGCTCTTTGCCTATTAACGATATAGCTGCCCCTGAATCGATCAAACACACTAACTCCTGTTTATTTATGTACACTCTGGCATAAATTGCCCCTTTGTCTACTAGTGCAAGAACCTCCCGATTCCTAGGGTGGAAAGAAAACACGTTATAATGTTTAAAATATCTTCGTCGTCATCTTCTTGGCTGTTTATCTTCCAATGTCCTGCCCCTCCACAAGCGTAACATTTATCGTTCCTTTTATGATCCACTCGTAATGCTGCTATCTCACGCTCTAACTCCACAATCTTCTTCTCGAAAGTATTTATCTCCTGCTTTTCGCACCCAACCGGAGCTACTGTTCGTGTCATCAGCTGACGAGTCACCTTCGCCAGTTCACCGATGTCCATAGGTCGCTCTGCGTTTACTAGTCTCAGCTGTTGGGACAAGGCGGCAGGCACACTCTCAATAAACTGCGACGCCAACAACTGTGCCTCCGACTCCTCATCGATGTTCGGCAGCGCACGGCGCAACAGCAAGCACCAACGGGTCACCATCAGCCGACAGCCTCGCCAACCGGAACTCCTGCAGCCCCTTCTTTCTGTCCACTGGGCTGTCGAACTCCGTCATCAACCGCTCCTTGACCGTCTCCCACGTCGTCTCACCGCCAGCACCGTCCAAGCTGTCATATACGGCTCTTGCCCTGCCTCTCAGCAGCGTCCCCAGCACCACCAGCTTCGCCTTCGGCTCCTTCACCCCCACCAGCTCCGCCACGGCCTCAAACTCCTTTGGCCATGGTATCTTCATCCTTTGTTTAGGCAGCGACACCAAATGTAGTGAAGGAGAACACCGATGAGGGCAACCGAATTGTAATTAGCGAAAATTACAGAGTTACTCAGTAAAATTCGGAACACCATATCGTAAATCGTTAATTTGCGAAATATCAGTCCATCATATCGAAGTGGACTGTTCGTGTTGCAACTGAAGTTTGTACTGAGTTTGATGTTGAAATCTCCACAACCGAAACATCCAACTCAGAGTAAGAAACTCCACTACAATGTCTGATATGATTAAGCAGATTTTAGTACAACAAATCAAACTAGATTTGATTTGTTCAAATGAAAAGTAAGCTCAAATAATATCATTACTACTGCTTACTTAAACTCTGATTTACATCACTTATTAAGGCATTGAAGAATACAAGGCTTGTTGACCTTGTGATTAAAAATGAGTGAATATTTAGTATTGCGTGGTTGTTGTGAAGATTGTTAAGTTTTATTTGTATCTTCACAACAACCCCGCAATGCAATTACATGTGTCCACTAGTGACTAGCTTGGTGAGGAATCTTCTCCGAGTTCTAGTGGTGGGAAGTCGTGACCAGTGAAGTTCAAACCTGTTCGGATGTATACAGGGTATGAGGTTGCGCAACTCCGTGAATTTGATCAAGTTAGACATTAACACCGTTAGATACCGGCTCAGTGGTCTAACGGTTAGGGCGTTCGCGCACAATACCGAAGGTCCTGGGTTCGAATCCTGCGGGGTGCAGGGGCCTTGGACGCGCACTGCTGATGAGTCCCATACCAGGGCGAAACGGCCGTCCAGTGCCTCCAGGTTTCTAATGGTGGTCTAACATTGGTCGATTCATGGTTACGAATATTTATTAAACAAACCATTGATCGTCATTGATATTGCATGTTTTAGGCAATAAAAAATATCACTGAAATGATCTTTAGATCATCAAAAACATGGAAACACTGGACGCCGGCTTTGTCAATGGTATGTGAGACTCATCAGCAGTGATCATCCACGGATCTAGGACATTCGGCCTCAAGCGCGAACGCGTAACCTCTGAACCAATGAGTTGGCATTCATGTGTGTTAATGTCTAACTATGATCAATCTAGGGGTTCTGCACGACCTCACCTATTTGTCGTCGGTAGTTACTGCCTACAATTGATAGGGCTGCACTCTAATGGTCACATCTTCTTACTCTAAGAATTCCCTCACGAGGCTAGTTCAGCAAATTTTACGATTTTTTTATCATAGAGTTATGAGGATTGTAGTTTATTGCAGAAGTCATGAATGAATCATTGTTAGACTACCATCGGAAACCTGGATTTACACTGCTGATGAGTCCCATATCAGGACTGCTGCTTCTAGGTTTCTAATGGTTGTCTAACAATGATTGATTTATGATTTTGTTATGTTCGTCAATTGATATGTGCTTGAATGCTACTATTACGAGTTCACCTTACTCGGTAAACGAGAGCGAAGACAAATGATCCAGTGACATGATAGGCTACTGTAATCCGAGCGTCCCAAGGCCCCACTAAGTAGAGGAAGAAGTCTTGTTGACAAGACGTAGAAAGTGTTATTCTACAAGCACACAAATCGAGTATATTTATACATCATAGAAAAGTCTTTGGGAGAGCTAAAAAATAGCGTACTAAAATAAATACACCAACCAATAACAATAGTCAAGGATTTTCCGGGTTGGGAAATGTAATCTCAAGGTCAAATGATCGGTCCATGCTCGAAAACATACAATCAAAAGTTAGGATTAATCATCGATTCGAAACCGAAGATTTTCTACCTCACCGACTACTGAAGAATCCACTTATATTGATTACTAATTCAGTTCTTATTAAATTTCTACTAAGTTTGTTCGGTACTGTACATTACTGAACCATGTTAGTAGGTGTAGACTACCTGGTCACTTGTCTGCGAGACGATAGTAATCGATAGTTAGAGACTTTGAATGGCATGGCTTAAACTCGTTTACAATGGTGCAGGTGCGCATCTATTCTTTATGTTCTCTCAAAAATCTTGATCTTCTGAATTCCTAATCACTCCTATCTTCTTAAATATTATCTTCGATTTACTTATCTTCTCCATTACTCTTTCTACTTCTGCTGCCTCTACCACTACCGGATTTGAATTGACAATTTGGTCACAGTGTTCTAATATGATATGGCAACTTCAACTTTTTATACATACGTACAAAGTTCTACCTTGTAGCTAATTGACTACTGTGTACTCCTCCATATTGCTCACTGATGCATGAAACACAAAGCCTATTGATCAATATATATATATATATATATATATATATATATATACCGAAGAAGTACATTAACCTTATACAAGTTCTCTACTCTGAAACTACTGGTCGCGTGAGAGCTAATGGTGGACTGTCGTCGGAATTCACAACTTAAAGTGGTGTCCATCAGGGATGTCAATTTTCCCCATTTTTGTTTAATGTTGTCATAGACATGCTGCTATATATAACATTATCTTCGTCTGACTTTTCAGGAGTCGATTTTCTACCAGGAGCCACGCTTGGTGACCTAGAATATGCCGATGACATTGTCCTATTCGGTGAAGACGCTAACAAAATGCAGAGTCTTCTGACCACTCTAAGCAACAATGCAAGCATGTTCGGGATGCGGTTCTCACCCTCGAAATGCAAAATGTTGCTTCAGGATTGGGTTGCATCGGTACGTGAACTAGTGATAGAGAGTGAAGCAGTTGAGCATATTGACCGCTTCACTTATCTGGGGAGTCTCATCAGTGCTGACAGCCTCGTGACTGACGAAATTTCAACACGGATACAGAAAGCTTGGCTTTTGCCAACCTGCGTCACCTATGGCGCAGGCGAGATATCCGTCTGCTAACCAAAGGACGAGTGTACCGTGCAGCAGTTCGCTCCCTCCTACCATACGGATGCGAAGCACGGCCGTTAAGAGTAGAGGACTTTCGTAGGTTACTAGTCTTCGATCATCGGTATCCCCGAAGCTTTACTCGTGTATCCTGGGCCAACCGTATAAGCAATGCTGTCGTTAAGAAACGAGTACTAGGTAGGGATGGCAAATCAATAGATCAAGCATTGAAACTTGATCAGTTGAGGTGGTTGGGACATGTGTTACATATGACTAACCGCCGACTGCCTCGACGAGCTATGTTTTGTGTTGTAGGAGTTGGTTGGACGAAAGTTAGGGGCGGCCAGACCAAAACATGGCAGAAATCCATGAAGTGACTGAGAAGTGGACTGAGTGATGTAGGTAGATGTAGGCTACCTGGTTGGGGTCCGCGAGACGAAATTTACCAATGGTTAGAGACCTTGAACGACATGGCTCAGAATCGTTTGCAATGGTGCAGGTGTATCCACTCTTTGTTTTCTCTCTAATTCTAACCTTCTGAATTCCTCATAATCTCTATCCTCCTCCTTACAAAAATAATCTCACTGAATTATACTTTTCGAATCATACCTAATCTTCTCCATTACTGCTAATAATTCTACTATCGCTATCACTCTGTGATTTGAACTGACAGTTGCGTCTCTGTGCTGATGTGGTATGGCAACCTGAACTGATGTACTTGTGTACGAAGTTCTGCGTTGTATTTGTCTATACATATATATTCATATGCGATGTTTGTTTCTCCATTTCACTTTCTGTTCATTCCAAAATAGTTCTTCGAAATGGTCATGGCCTTTTAAACGGTAAGTAAATCTCTCTGTTGATTTTTTTCCAAAAAACCCCTTATTCTATCAATTGTATGTTTCATTTAATGATACAAAATGAATGTATTTTTTCTAGTTGTAAGAATGAAATAACTGCTGTATAGGAAGTTTTCCCGATCATAGCTGATACCTTCTCGTGGTGGTCAGGTTTGCCTATCGTGATCATACAACCGAGCTATAGTGGTTCTACCATGCCAGGCAGGTCGACTGGAGAAGGATGAGACTAAAAGCAGTTACTGAAGATCTGAGGGCGAATTAGTACTCCTGACTGTAGAAAGGTGTGACAGCATTCAGATGTTACCCTCGGATAATCAGCATCTGCAGCGGTGCTGCCTTCTCACTTCAGAATTTAGGGTTTAGAAAAGGTCGACCCTAAAAATGTCACAGCGCACCTTACCTCACGAATTTCCGTCTCCGTAGGTTAGGCTATTCGAAGAACGAAGTTCAAAACGTCTCATAAAAGGGTCGTGCATAACCAGTCTCAAATAGTTACCCTTTAAACTATACGGGTTGCTCTCCCAGGTCACTACAAGCAATACTAACCCAAACTCCTTTTCAGGTTCCTGAAGAAGAACGGCCGGGAAAGTGACATTCACCCTTATACCCGTTTTTTCCCACAAGATTTTAACTGGTCACAATCAAATCCTTCCTGAATACGTCTTGTAGTCTGTTACGCCTGCACGTAAACACGTCAACTTGATATACTTGAACTATTACGAGTTTACCTTTGGTCGGAAAAACGAGAGTGAGGATCGAGGATCTGGCGACATGACATGCTACGCAAATCCGATTATCCCAACCCCCATATTGAGTAAAATTAAGAAGAATTGATATGAAGTAGAACTTGTATTCTGCAAGCATCTAGGAAGTATGAGGTCCGAATCCAGAAGAGAATCAGGATCCAAGACTAGGGATCCCGGACCGGGTCCTGGTCCTCGTCATAAAACGTTACAGGTAATGCGTATTTATACATTTTGGTCGAATAGGAAACAGCATCGAATTCTGTGATATTGACAGTTAAGACAACCAATAGGAAGTAACATTTGAAGTGACATTGATTGTCAGAACAACCATAAAATTGACCAATAGGAATAGACCAATAATTCTCTTATGCTATTGGATGAATATCCTTACAAGTCTTATTTCTTGTTGTCTGCACACATTTTCAAACTTATTAATTTAATGTTTCTCAGTACTACTTACTGCTAAATAATCTTCAAATCTTATCGATTTATTTTGACAATGCATTGCCTTTCTTTTTCATATTACTACTACTACTGATAATACTACTGATAATAATCATACTACTACTAGAAATCGATATAAACGAGCTCATTCAGCAGATCCATTGAAAACTACTGAATTTCACAAAATCGATAACAATAATCATAATAAGAATAAGAATAATAATGATTTAATGAATCATCCTCCTCAATCCACAGCGTACACATCTTATGTTTATGGGATTAGTATTAGTGAATACATACATTGGTATGTAATGAGGCGAAATGCTAACAGATTATTACAATCAAACGAATTACATTGTCCTGTACATACATCAATTCAATTATGGGCACCAGATTTGGTAAGTTGTTTTTTTTAATTTCTTGGATAGAAAATACTTATAAATGTTTTAATTGTCAATTAGAGTTATGCAGATTAGTGTTTTTTTACGCATTTGAAAGGATGAATGAATCATTGTTAGGCTACCATTTGAAACTTGGAAGCACTGGATGACCGTCCCGTCCTGATATCTGACTATTCATCAGTGGCAGTTTGCATCCACGACTTGAACCCAGGACCTTCGTTCTTGCGCTCGAACGCCTAACCTCTGGATCACTGATCAATCTGGAGATTCCGCTGATGAGTCCTCACGATTGGACGAAACGGCTGTCCAGCGCTTCCAGGTTTCTAATGGCGGTCTAACAATGAAATATTTTATTTTGTCTAATAATTTAACTATGAAGTGCTTAGTGAAAAGGGACTTGTGAAGATCTGATCCTAGTTAGACTAATATTAGAAACTTGTGAGAACTTGGATGATCGTTTCGCCGTAGTTTGAGACTCTTCAGCCGTGTTCGTTCACGAGCCATGCTATCGGGTATCCAACTGAAGACCTTCTGTTTCGCTGCACCGGGTAGCTAAGATCATTCCATGATTGCGACTAGGAGTACAAAGGTTCTCTCGAACTATCATATTCTCCTTTTATTCTTAGTACAAGCCGATATAGAATGTAATGTTAAATAGTGAAGTATGGAACTCTGCATAATGTTTTTTTAATACAAATGATAACCTTTTTTAATCATGTTAATGATTAGTTTGAAAATTTAATGTAATGTAGCGCGTTACCTTTGACTCGTTGTGGCGTAGAATACAGTAAGTAATTGATATGCTTGAAACTACTATTACGAGTTCACCTTACTCGGTAAAACGGAGCGCAGATCAGTGATGCAGTGACACGATAGACTATTCTAATCCGTTTCCCCCTGGCACTGCCAACTATATCAAGAAGTCTTGATAAGGCATAGTAAGTGTATTCTATAAGCACCCAGAAAATACGAGGTCGACAAAAACACACAAATCGAGTTTATTTATACAGTGATAGGAACGTCCTTGGGAGAGCCACAAAATAGTGTACTGAAATAATCCATCAATCAATGACAGTCAAAGATTTTCCGAGTGGGAAATATAAGCTGAAGGTTAACTAAGCGACTTATGCGCGAGAACATAAAAAAATCCAAAATCAGGACCTTTTTTCAAGTGAGTTTCGAGGATCTTACTTCTCCAATAGTCATACATAAAGTACGATATATTTTCAGATATATACTAAGCGAAGTAACTATAGTTAACAGCAACACAACTTTTAATTCTATCAAAGGTTCTAACTACATGATTGAGGTACGTGTGAAACTGAAGTTAAAAAAGTTAACCAGCGATTTATCTGAAGATTAATTTCGTTATAAAGAAATATACATAGATTAGTAACAAATCTCAACTCGTCAGGTAACCGTGGTGATTAAGGCGTTTGAAATCCTATAAAAAAGAAGAAAGGCTTTTTACAATCATGACATATAGAATACTAACAACATCTGATGAAGAAAATGACAGTTGTGTCTAGTGTAGACGACATCTTATCGACTAGGAATTAAGAGCACACAGAAATGAAAGCTATTGCTTTTAAGCAAAGTTCCAAAGAATGTACTGTAGTGTGTGCTAATATGTCGAATCGACTGGGCTTGTCCAAGCCTTCCAACAATTACACTGATCCATTCTACCCGAATTACTAATCACTTGTCTTTTTACTTTGTCTTGTATTCGCTTACCTTTACCTGTTACCCCTAATAAAATTATAGGTCACCGACCAGCATTCTCCAACCTACTCTGCCCTTGGCCTCCCAATTTCTGTTCATTCTTCTCATGTCTTTCTCTGTTTCTCAGTGTAATGTGTTCTTGGCCTTCCTCTTTTCCTTTTGCCCTGAGTATTTCATGTGAGGGCTTGTCTTGTGACACAGTTGAGTGCTTTTCGCAGTGTGTGTTCTATCCACTTCCATCGCTTCTTCTTGATCTCCTCCTCCACTGGAATCTAATTTGTTCTCCCCCACATTAAGTGGTTGTTGATAGTGACTGGTCAATGGATCTGAAGTATTTTGCGTAGAAAACTATTAATAAATACTTGTATCTTATGGATGATGTCTTTCGTAATTCCAGGCGGAGTTTTCTTTAAACTTAATACAAGCCACTAAAATACAAAACTTGGAATGACTAATAATACAAGCGCTGAGAGAAAGCAATTACAATAGTAAATACAATAATTGTTATAAGTTCCTATAAATATCAATACAACAATAAGCGAACTTTCCTAGTAGTAGTAGTATAGTGAAGGAGAACACAGGTGAGGTCAACCGAATTGTATTTGTCGCAAATTACAGTGTTACTCAGTAAAATCGGAAAACCATATCGTAAACGGTTAATTTGCACAATATCAGTTCATCATATCGAACTGAACTGTTTCTGTTGCAAAACATCAACAATCCATTGTCACTATTCATGCGTTTCATACAAATTCCATTGTGTTCCCACTCTTCATTTCTCTTGATCTTCCCCCATCTTCTGCTGCCAGACATTACGTTGACGCTCACGTCATATACTACTTATAAGTAGCTCGCACCACAGTACTAGTTAGTACCGAAAACGAACTAGTTGAATAAATAAAGAATTAAAAATGATTATGTAAACAACAAGATGAGATTATGTTATGAATTCTATTCTCTTCTGTTCTGTTTTTTCTGTCTTTAGCAATTTAAAGATATTCCTTCAACGCATTTTCTTTCCGCTGAACGTATTCATTTATTACAATTTCTTGGACGTGGTGCTTTTGGTTCAGTATTCAGTGGTATTGTGAATAATTCACTTGTTAGTAAACAGCAACACCAGCAGCAACAACAACAACTACTACATCGACGCCGACAACGACAATCGCTTTCTAATCAACTTCCACCAATAATGACAGCGATCAATCAAGTAAATTGTTGTTTAAGTGTATATATATTTAAATTTTTTTCCGCTTAAAAGAAGTCCATTATCAGTAACTCATGAAAGAAATCTATTTTTTAAAAAAATGTGCTCACTCAAGTGAGTAGCTTTGTGAGGAAATTCTCAGTTGTTCGAGTGAGAAGATGTGGCCACTGGCGTTCAACTCTGTCGGGTGTAAGCAGTAATTACCGGAGAAAATGGTTGAGGGTACGCAAAATCCTCAGATTGATTAGAGTTAGGCATTAACACTGTTGGATGTCAGCTAATTGATCCAGAGGTTGAGATTTCGCTTTCGAGACCGAAGGTCCTGGCTTCGAATCCTGCGAGTAGCAGGAGTTGCGGATGTGCACTACTGACGAGTCCCATACCAGGACTGGACGGCCATCTTTCAGTGCTTCCATATTTCTGATGGTGGTCTAACAATAATTCATTCATGATTTCACTGTGTAAAAACGTATTCAAACAAAAAGATAATGAAAATTTATGGTAAACAGTTTAACATTGTACACTAGATTCTTATTAATTTGATCAGTAGGAATAAACATTAAACTGGTCAGTCGAATAATACATCTTTTGAAATCATCAATCAATCATTGTTAGACCACCACCATTAGAAACCTGGAAGCACTGGACGGCCGTTTTGTCCTGGTATGGGAATCATCAGGAGTTTAACAATGATTGATTGATGATTTCAAATGTGTAAAAAAAACACAAACCTCCAAAACTCTGCCCCAAAATATCGTAACAGTGCTCACTAGTGACTAGATTCGTGAGGAAATTCTCGGAGTTCTAGTTGAGAAGACGTGACCAATGGAGTTCAACCCTGTCGGGTGTAGGCAGTAACTATCAAAGACAAATGGGTGAGGTCGCACAAAATCCGTAGATCAATCAGAGTTAGACATTAACACCGTTGGATGCCGGCCCAGTGGTCCGATGGTTAGGCGTTCGCGCAAAATACCAAAGGTCCCGGGTTCGAATCCTGCGAGGTGCAGGAGTCGTGGATGCGCACTGCTGATGAGTCCCATACCAGGACGAAACGGCCGTCCAGTGCTTCCAGGTTTCTTCTAATGGTGGTCTAACAATGATTGATTGATGATTTCAAATGTGTAAAAATCAAAACACAAACCTCCAAAACTCTGCCCGAGAATAATACATCATTGGATTATAACGATACTGGACCTTGTTGAAACACTTGACTCAATTGTCCAATCAACAAATGAAAATAAGAGTGTAATAACAATTTTGTAATCCGGAAAATATCCGAAATGAATTCTGCGTCTGTACTGTTGAAGAGTGGTATTGTAGAACATAACAATTGTCTTGTAATTCTAAATTTTCGAAAGTTCTCTGAATTAAAAATTAACTGACGACCTGTTATAATTCTCTTTTCTCTCTACACTGGATACCTAGCCAGTAAGTACTATTCTAACACATACTTCAACAAAACTCAGATGAGGAACACGTGACTGACCTGATCAATAATGTTTGCCTTTTAGATAACAATGAACAATCACTAGGATAGGGAATATATGTGCCACCAACTCGAATACCTGTCAGACTATCCACTAGTCTGTTTAGGTAAATAACCAATCATTATTGATTAACACCGAACACTTTTCATAGACCCTATACTGAATTTTCACTCCACCTAGAGCTCCCTTTATGGTTGCTGCTGATCCTCAAGCCCGGAGAAAGGAGAAGGGTTGGACATGATGTTAACGACCCTACCTCGTATAAAACCCAACTTGCTAAAGAAAACTCTAACCACAACATATTAAATTCTGATAAGTTGGTACAAGTGAATTTGGGTAGGATACATAATAAGATATTTGCAATCAGTAAATATCAACTCTGTAAGTACATACAACTTTTTCAATGCAACAAATACTAAGTGACTTAAAACACAGTTTACTCAGGTCATCAATACCGAGGTTGACATAGTTTAGTTTGTGCTAATTTACAGGTATTTTTATCAGTGATTATTGATTTCGTTTAAATAATCATAGTTTTAAGGAATTTTCCAGTGAATAGATATCGAAAAGTGATATGAAATTGTAATATTGAATACAATAAAAACGTAACACACAGAACTGAATAATGACTAAAGTTGACATGAAATAATTGAATGATCACACTTAAATTAATCAATAATCTCTCACTGTTGATCGAATCTAACAAGTCTTCCAAGTTCTGATCTATGTTTTTATCTTCAAACCTTCCTGTTTTTGCCTATTTATACACCTACTCTCGTCTGTTTGCACTTCTTGGAGCAGGGGTTGCCGACCAGCACTGTCCAACCGACTCCATCCGAGTCTTCCCTTTTTAATTGTCCGCAAGTGATATTCATTCTTGTGTTGTCTGCTCCACGATTCACTGTGAAATGCCCCCATTGGTCTTGTTCTTTTCTCAATGTCAGGAATATTCCAAGTTAGGGCTTGCCTTCTGGTCCCAGTCTCTTGACTTTTACTAAGCAAGGATTAATCGATAAAGCCACAGTTGCAGAAACCTTAGTAGACAAAACTGAAATTTTTTTTATCTGCTATCTATTGGTTATGAAATTGTTATGAATACACGTGACCACGTCGAATGATATGCTTGAAAGTGTTACGAGTTCACCTAAGTCGGTAAACGAAAGCGAGGATCGATGATCTGGCGACACGACAGGCCTCTCTAATCCGAACGTCCTAAACCCCAACTAGATAGAATTAGAAGACTTGATATGAAGTAGGACCTGTATTCTACAAGCACCCAGAAAGTAAGAGATCCGAGTCCAGAAGATGCTAGTGAGGTCGAATAGGAAACAACATTTGAAGTATGTGACATTGATAATTAGGACAACCAATAGGAATTGACCAATAGAATTAAACTTACAAAATAATTCTCTTAGGATATTGAAATGAATATCCTAACAGTAATGTTCTCTTAAACTACCATATCTTCTAACCGGCGCCACAGGATTGATCTATACTGTTCAGACTGTAGTGTTCAACACCTGAACAGTGTCTTGTTCTCCTGAGAACCAATATTTAAATCTATTCTAATGTGAATTAACCATTTTTTGTAAAAATTTATGTAATCTAAGCCCTTTTTTTTCTCTCTCTCTCTCGATTAATTTTAGTCTAATGACAATCAAACCACCAGCAATATCATTCCGAATGTAGCTGTTAAACTTTGTTCACCTGTACATCCAAATTTGATTATTGATGCTGTCAACTCGGTGGAGGTGCAGCAGAACAACAATTCATCTACACAAGATAAGCGTTCTAATTCAAATCTATCTGATGCGTTTGTTTTATATCGTCAAGAACAACGTCGATGGTTGCGTAATCCAATCGAAGCATGTTTAAGTGCTTATCAGGTTAGGCTTATTGATTGATTGACTGACTATTTAGCGAACTATGTATAGAACTTATTTACCAGTAGATGAAATCTGGGTACTTCAAGCCTTGTATTAGCATATATTGAGTATTTAGACTATTGAGTCCGGTATCCAAAGATACTTGTATAATATCACGAACCAATGAGAGTTAGGAATGCAAACCATTGGATACCGACTTAAAAGTTCTTTGGTTCGATTCCCGTTGTTGTTGGGAATATATGGTTTCGAGTGGTTGTTCTCGTCATTATTATATCTGGAGATGATAACCCTAACCATATTAAGTATGCTAGCAAGTGTAGCTAAATATCCAGTCAAAATTGTGATATGCGATTCTGCATTTTCTGTATGTTTTTCGATAGTTCTGTTCACTGCTGATTGGTTAAAACAATTCCTGAAGCTTCTGGATCTCTAGAGACGTTTACATGTTATATGACGGAACTCTCAATGATGACTAGCGATTGAACTGGAATAATTAATTAATAATAGGTAGCAGTGTAAATCACTGGAGATGTCGATCTAAATGGTTTGTTTAAACAGTTGAAGAATCTGTGTTTAATCGCCCAGATGGTCACAAAAGTACTCTACCAAGATGTTTAACGCTAGTATTAAACAGCCATTTTTGATTTTCACTAAGTGTCTAACTTTGTTCAATCTGTAATATATAAACACTGATTACCCGAGGAATTGTAAGCAATTTTAAACTGGCTGAAACTTGAAACATCTATCTAAATCATGTTTTGAAATAAGTTCAAAGATACAAATTTAAACAATGTCACCGGATTAAAAATAATCTGAAATTCTCCAGTGAAATACTTCTCCTACTAATAATAATAATAGTAGTAATAGCGATATACTTGATACTTAATTTCTGTCAAACTATTTGTTCACGTTTCAGTGAACTATTTCTACCAACTGTCCATATCTCCATGTTGCCAATGCCTTTTATCACGAGCTGCGCTTTATGGTGTAGGAGTAGGTTGGAAGAAAGTTAGGGGCGGCCAGACCGAAACATGGCAGAAATCCATGAAGTCACTGACAAGTGGACTGAGTCACGTTGGTAGATGTAAGCTACCTGGTTAGGATCCTCGAGATGATAGCAGTCGATGGTTAGAGACCCTGAATGACATGGCTCAAAACCGTTTGCAATGGCGCAGGTGCATCCACTCTTTGTGTTCTCTCTAATTCTAACCTTCTGAATTCTTCATAATCTCTGTCTTTCTCCTTTTAAATTTATCTCACTGAATTATACTTCTCGAATCATATCTTCTCTCTCTAATCTTCTCCATTACCGCTAATACTTCTACTATCTCTATCAACTATGGGATTTGAACTGAAAATTGTGTCTCTATACTGATGTGATATGGCAACCTGAACTCTGATGTACTTACTTACGAAGTTCTACATTGTATATCTCTGTCTGTCTGATTATTAGTTAAGTTATGAACATTATTCTCGTCAGTCACATACATCATCATTCTATAAAAAGAATTAATCTTCTAACTCAATAATCTTACTGTGTTGTTGTACATTTTCTAATATCATCTACTTTAAATTCACTATTGAACAATTCACAATTCAATTTCGTTTTCTTCGCGCTTTTCTTTTGTTTAATTGTTTTTTTGTCCAATAGGAAATTCGATCTGAATTGAATATCTTATTACCAATTACAAGAAATTCATCATCATCGTCATCATCATCATCACATCCAATCAAATTTCATCATGATCAATCATCCTGCGCAACATTATCATCACTGTATCAAAAAAATACACGTCTTAGTAAATTCTATGCTGTACATCCTAGTTTTTTACATGAACGACGATCTAGTCAAAGTTGTTTTCATAAATGTTTACAAAAGAGGAATAAATGTAACAGTTCGAAGAATGTCAAGAGTTATTATGACATAAATAATAATACCAGTAATATGAATAGTAATTTACTTATTTGTCATGGTATTCTTTATCCAAACCCAATTGGATTTGTTATGCCATTAGTACCTATGGGTAATTTATCAAATTATTTCGCTGCGCTGTTATCGTCATATAAAGATGTATTTAATATTGTGAACAATCCTGCGATTGCTGCGAATTCTGAAGTCACAGGAACAGCAGGAACAGTGGCAGAAGTTACAACAGGAAGAACATTGACTGATCGCAATGAATTATTTCTTAGTCACCCAATACATCCAATTACTATGATGTTGATAGTGAATCAGGTAAGTAGTGTGATTTGTTTGATAGGCTTGAATGCTATTTTGAGTTCATCTTACATCTTATGACTGAGTGATACGAAAGTCTATTCTAGTCCGATTGTCCTAGATCTAACTCAGTAGGAAAGATTTGATTGTGACTAATTTTGGTCTAGTATACTGGTACGGGGGTTATGTTTTGGCAACGGGGATGGGATCACATTGATCCTTTGTGACTTGAATTATTACTCGAGCAGCAGCTGAACTAATGAAGATGTTGGTGGATACCAAGCTGCATCATGACACGACTATGGTGGATCAAGGCAATCTGATGTTGTGTATTGTATCTGTCAACTAACCAGAGTAGCTGTGCCCCAGTCCACCTCATTTCACCTCAATCCGATTGCCGATCTAAAATCAATCTATTAGATTGGTTCAAACAGCTAACATTAGCAGATATCCCATCAAGCATATAAGAAGAAGCCAACCCGCTCAGAAGTAAGTACCCAAGACTGGTCCTCATCTCCGTTCAAGAAATATCCTCCCCGACAGCAGCCAACAACAGCCCAGATCCAAATAAACCGTCGTGTGTCGCTTCGATTTCTTCAGAGGGAGGTGTTGGGATAATCATCCAATATCCTAAGAGAATTATTGGTCAAATCCTATTGGTAGATTTCTATCGGCCAAAATTTGGTCGTCTTAATTGTCAAGGTCACAGAATTCGATGCTGCTTCCTATTCGACCAAAATGTATAAATACGCATTATCTGTAACATTTTATGACCACGACCAGGACTAGGGCTCGGTCCCGTCTCCCTTGTCCGGGATCCTGATTCTCTTCTGGATTCGGACCTCGTACTTTCTGGATGCTTGTAGAATACATGTTCTACTTCATATCAAGTCTTCTTATTTTCACTCAATATGTGGGTTGGGATAATCGGATTTGAGTAACATGTCGTGTCACCAGATCCTCGATCCTTGCTCTCGTTTCCGACTAGGTAAACTCGTAATAGTTCAAGTATATCAAGTTGACGTGATTACGTGCAGGCGTAACAGTATGAGGGTGGATGTCATTTCCCGACTGTACACACCTTGAAAGAATGTTTCTCGAGGAACATCAAGAAGAAGAAGTTGGATGAAAGTTGGTCTTAGAGACATGGGAGCGTGACCATTAGAGCTCAAGGGACAACTGCTTGATGTCGGTTATGCACGGTCTTTTTATGGGTAGTGTTTAAAGTGTTAGTTCCGCTATTTTTAAAAGGACTTACTGCCGGAGATAAAATCCATGAAGTAAGGTGAGGTATGAAATTTGCAAGGTTGATCTTTTATAACCCCTTCCTTCGGTTGTGAGAAGGCAGCATCACTGCAGATGAAACACCGTACTGCTGTCACACTCCTCTACAGTCAGCAGTACGACTTTGCTTTCGAAACTCGATTAGCTGTTTTTAGTCTCACCGTTTGTCCTCCAATCGACCTGCGTGGCATGGTAGAACCTATAGGAACATATGTTCCAGCCAATATAGCTCAGTTGGGTCATCACGATAAGTAAGCCCAACCACCAAGTCAAGGAAGCAGCTACGGTTGGGAAGGCCCCATTTTAACTAAACGGAGAAGTTTTAATAAGACGTAGAGAGAGAATGTATTTCACAGACATCCATAAGGTAAGAGTTCAACAAGCGCAAAACTCAAGCTTATTTTTACAATGATAAAAAGGCCCTTCTTGGTGAGAGCCAAAAAATAGCGTACTTAAATAATCCATGAACCAATGACAGTCAAGGATTTTTACAAGTAAGAGATGTTAGCCGAAGGTCAACTAAACGTCTGTTGGCGCAAAAACATTGAAATTCAAAATTTCAGTAATAAACTACAAAATTAAGACCTTTTTTCAAATGAGTTCTAGGAGTCTAACATCCCCAATATTTATGCTGTTTGTGTTTTTCACCTTGGGATAGGTGAGATTCAAATGACTAATAGTAGTAGGGCGGTCAAACTAAAACGTTAACATTCGTCCATAAAGTCTTTGACTGTTAGATTGCATACACTGTGTAGGTGGCATCAAGCTGATCACCTGATTGACGTCATTGCGGTTATCATGACTATTGATATATCTTTATCACCTCGTGCCATTCTAATGCTAACGATTTGAGTGCATGGAATGTTTTTTCTTAGTCTCCTGAAACCTCTCTCTAAACATCAGATGCGGCAGCTTTTAATATTCGAACCTTGGACTAAATAGGACAACAAATTTCCTTAGCAGCTAGGACTATAGAATTTTGTCCCATTGATGTATGCAGCGTCTTCGAAATGCGTATACAGGATCCGGGCACAGTTATTCACTTTTTCATTACCTTTTAAAGTAGAACTATCTCTCTTCGAAGCATTGCTCGTATATCCTGGGACAACTGAGTAAGCAGTTCTGGAGTTTGGAAAAACGTATTAAGTAAGGATGGCAAATCAATAGATGAAGTGGTGAAACTTTATCAATTGAGCTGGTTGGGACATGAGTTACGTATGGTTAACCACCGACTGCCTCGATGAGTTATGTTACATGATGTAGATGGGTAGATTGGAAGAAAGCTAAGGGCGGCCAGACAAAAACATGGCACAAATCAATGAAGTCACTGATAAGTGGACTGAGTCATGTTGTTAGTTAGTTAATTCTTCCTTTTTTTGGAGAAACGTGAAAATGCTCTTATTTAAACTGTCCTTCTCATAAAATGATTGTGGGCATTAAATAACAGTTTTATTACTTAATTTGAACTATTCAGAATTTCACATGCATTTATTTCTAACTTCGACATTAAATCGTACTTATTCTGTACAATTTTATTCAGTCACGTACTTGAATTCTGCTAATCAATATTTCCAACTTGAGTCAACTTGATCATGATTATTATTCAGTTAGTCAGTTGGTCAGTCAGTCAGTCACAACATAGAACTTCGTACGTACGTACGTATATACATCAGTTCAGGTTGCCATACCACATTAACACAGAGACGCAACTGTCAGTTCAAATCCAATAGTACTGGAGATCTTAGGAGTATTAGCTGTGATGGAGAAGATTAGCGTTCGAAGATATTATTCAAGAAGTAAATGATTCAGTGAAATAAATTTAGAAAGAGAAAGATAAAGGTGATGAAGAATTTGAAGGTTTAGGATTTGAGAGAACAAAATGAATGGATGCACCTGCGGCAGTGCAAACGATTTTGAGCCATGTCGTTCAAGGTCTCTAACCATTGGTTAGTATCGTCTCGCGGACCCTAACCAGGTAGTTTACATCTACCAACATGACTCAGTCCACTTGTCAGTGATTTCATGGACTTCTGCCATGTTTTGGTCTGGCTGCCCCTAACTTTCATCCAACCTACTCCTACACCACAACACATAACTCGTCGAGGCAGTCGGTGGTTAGGCATTCGTAACACACGTCCCAACCACCTCAACTGATGAAGTTGCAATACTTCATCTATTGATCTTTCATCCTTACCTGTACCCGTTTCTTGATAATAGCATTGTTTACTCGGTTGTCTCAGGATACACGAGCAATGCTTCTAAGACATCTATGATCGAATACTAATAACCTACGAATATCTTCTACTCTTGAGGGCCATGTTGCGCATCCATATAGGAGAATGGAGCGAACTACTGCGCAGTAGACTCGTCTTTTGGTTAGTTAACAGATATCTCACCTACGCCATTATTATTATTATTATTATTATTATTATTATTATTATTATTATTACTATACATAACTGTACCCATGAACAGCCTCATTTTTTTCTACTTTCTAACACAATACATTCGTCTATTAGGCTAGATAGATTCAAACTGTTGAACTACTTAAATAATCAAGTCAAATAACATCAAGTATTCACAATTGACAATTCTTTCTATTGATTTTTTTTCTGTTAGATATCTAAAGGATTGGCATATCTTCACGGCTTATCAATCATACATCGTGATTTGAAATCAGAAAATATATTAATTTGGTCAATACCACCGCCACCACCACAGCCTACTACAACAAGGATGCCAACAGCATCGACTAATTCTAATCATCCATCCGAAGTACATATTGTCTTAACTGACTATGGTGTAAGTCGATTAATGTGTGAAGAAGATAATTATGGTTGTAGAGGATATGTTGGTACACCAGGTTTTATGGCACCGGAAATTTTAGAATATTTAGGTGAACAAACATATACTTCAAAGGTTAGTTTTAAAAAGTTTTAAAAATCTTAACAAGATTTTCATCTTTACTTGTACTTGTTTCTTGATAGTATGTAGCATTGTTTTTACTCGGTTTTTACTCAGGATACATGATCAATGCTTCGATTACACCTATGACTGAATACAACTTTGCTTACGAATATCCTCGCTTCATCTAATGACCAGACATCCTTACCTAGTACTCGTTTCCTAATGGCAGCATTTCTCACTCGGTTGTCCAAGGATACATGAGCAAAGCTTCTAAGAAACCTGTGATTGAATACTAGCAACCTACGAACATCATCTACTCTTACCGGCCATGTTTCTCAGTCATATAGGAGAACGGAGCAAACTGTTGTGCAATAGACTGGTCCATAAGTTAGCAAATGGATATATCGCCTGCATTATTATTATGTTGTGTGAATTTTCATTAAAAAAACAAAACGGGATAGATTTAGATTCCGCTGTGATATAAATTAGAAGTACAGTTTTATTTAAAAAAACAAGTACCATACAAAAGAATGTACACTTCACTTTAAAAGATTAATCACTCCATAGATTACCTGGTTGGGGTCCGCGAGATGATAATAATCGTTGGTTAGAGACCTTAAATGACATGGCTGAACACCATTTGCAATGGCGCCGGTGCATTTGTTCTTTGTGTTCTCTCAAATCCTAATCTTCTGGATTCTTCAACACCTCTAGTTTTGACTTTCTTAACTTTTCTCACTGAATCATACTTCTTGACTAATATCTTGTAATCCTAACCTCTTCGACTAATGCTCATACCTCTACTAATATTGGATTTGAATTGACAATTACATCTCTGTGCTGATGTGGTATGGCAACATGAACTGATGTACTTGCGTACGAAGTTCTACGTTGCATCTGACTGACTGACTGACACATTTGTTAGAGTGTATGGTGTATCGTGTCACTGGATCATTTGTGTTCGCTCTCGTTTACTGAGTAAGGTGAACTCGTAATAGCATTCAAGCATATCAGTTGACGAGCATATGAAATGCTTCTCTCAATATGCTAGATATCCTTCACTGATGAGTGCTCATTAATACAAAACCGAGGTCAATTAGAGTTGTTTGCCTACTACTTCTAATTACATAACACAAATCAATGCTCTCTACCTTGTCTCCTAATCCTTGTTTTTCAGTGATTGAGTGTACTAGTGTAAATGTTTCACGCGAACTTCTCACTCACCACAATCATTCACAGTTGTACACATGTAAGCTAACACTTATAGACCACTTAGCCAGCAATCATTAGTGTCACTGTCTACCTTCAATCAATCAACACTGTTTTACGATCTCATACATTGTTTTCTGTAAGCAGCAACTGCCCCAGTCTCGAAAGGACTGAAAATTAATAACTTTCAATATATATACCATCACATTTTTGTTAAGAGATATTCATCCAATATCCTAAGAGAATTATTGATCAATTACTATTGGTTAATTCCTACTGGTCAATTTTATGGTCGTCCTAGATATCAATGTCACGTGCTCCAATGTTGTTTCTTATTGATCGTCTTAACTGTCAATGTCACAGACTTCGATGCTGTTTCCTATTCAACCTAAATGTATAAATACGCATTATCTGTAACGTTTTATGACCAGGACCAGGACCCGGTCCCAGATCCCTAGTCCGGGATCCTGATTCTCTTCTGGACTCGGACCTCGTACTTTCTAGATGCTTGTAGAATACAGGTTCTACTTCATATCAATTCTTCTTATATTTACTCAATATGAGGTTGGGATAATCGGATTTGAGTAGCATGTCGTGTTGCCGGATCCTGGATCCTCGCTCTCGTTTTTCTGACCAAAGGTAAACTCGTAACAATAATAATTCAAGTATATCAAGTTGTCATGTGTTTACACGTACAGGCATAACAATTTTTTTCATGTAATTGCTTACATTTTTTTCTCATTTTATAGGTTGATATTTATGCTTTGGGAATTTTACTATGTGAAATGATTCAATTGGAACAACCATATAAAAAATCATCTGTATTATTTTTTCGTTTAGCTCAACAAATTATATCAGGTGTACGTCCTGTTATTCCGCAACATGTATGTTTATTTTTGCTACTCTGAATTATTTAATGATAGAGTTGTGGAGATTATTGTTTTTACACATTTGAAATCATGAATCAGACAGCCTATGGAAGCACTAGACAGCCGTCTCGTCCTAGTATGGGACCATTCAACAATGTGGATCCATGACTCCCGCTACTTGGACTCATAACTTTCGGTCTTATGCGCGAACACCTAACCTCTAGACCATGGTGTTAATGTCTAACTTTGATCAATCTCGTGTCCCATACTCGGACGAAACAGCCGTGTTTAAGTGCTCCCACGTTTCTGATGGAGGTGTCTAACACAATGATTGATTCATGTGTTCACAATATTTGTTGTTGAATTGTCTTTTTTAAAAAATAGAAGATTTCATTACTAAAAATCATAAAAACAGATATAAGCGAGCATATATTATTTTCATATTGTTAGGATATTCATCCAATATCCTACGAGAATTATTTTGTAAGTTTAATTCTATTGGTCAATTCGTATTGGTCAATTCCTATTGGTTGTCCTAACTATCAATGTCACGTGCTTTAAGGTTGTTTGCTATTCGACCTAACTGTATAAATATGCATTGTCTGCCGTTTTATGGTCCGGATACTTAGTCCGGAATCCTTATTGTCTTATGGAGTCGGACCTCGTACTTTCTGGATGCTTGTAGAATACATGTTCTACTTCATATCAAGTCTTCTTCTTTTACTTAATGAGGGATTGAAACACTCGAAATAGAGCAGCATGTTGTGTCGCCGGATCCTCGATCCTCGCTCTCATTTTTCGACTAATATAAACTGGTAATAGTTCAAGCATATCAAATTGATGTGTTGACTTGTACGCGTAACACATATGCATCTATGAAATTATTCAAACCAATCCAAGCAAACTATGCGCCAGTGTTAAAGTACACATTGATAATGTAATGCCAGGTGTATTACTGATTATGATAAGATTAAATAAAAGCTTGAAATCAATCAAAACGATGACACTCTATCAACAAAGCGCTGAAGCTCATCCACAAGTAAGCCGTAAGGTTTACTGAAAAAGAAAACAAACATCTTCATACAATGAATAGGAAAATAGAGACAATGTAAATAAGAAATCTGTCCTCCTGAAACTCCTATTCAACGGAGTGATAACTAGTGACATACTCCTAGTTAGATTGATTGAATAAAGCAACAAAGAGGACGCTTAATGCAGCTATCATCTATCGGTATGTCGTTTTCTGGCCGACTTATGACATTTCCTTAAGTTACATGGTTTAGCCAGATCCATGTGTATCTACAAAGTCAACTGCTCTTGTGGAGAAAGCTATACTATTTGGTCGTACAACCAGATAACTGAGCCAGCGAACTAGTGAACACCTCGTTTCATTTTGTGGTTAGAAAAGGAACGGTACAATCAAAGCAATGCACAGATCAGTTCGTTTGGTTTAATGAGAAGACTTACGTAAAATGATAAACATCCATTGTCTTCTATTGCTTAATATATCGTTGAAATAGGGGTCATAAGACTGCTATTAACTTGACATTTTTATCGTTGTATAGATAGTGTTCAAGGACACATATACTAAGGTTTATGAAAGCTTTAGTCATATTAAAGTTTAAACCTTTTCTATGTTGTGAAAAAAATTAGAACAACGCATATCAGTGAACAATATTGCTTTCAGTAAGATTTAGCATGATATGAAGAGCTTCGACATAAACAATCCTGCCCAACCGGGTACCACTAGGAAGGAGTTGTGACTTATCAACTTATTAACTTACTTAGAAAGACCAGCTACGTGTGAGAGATTTTTTTGTGAAAGAAATATACGGAGAACTAAGTCAAAGATTGCGACTCTTCGAAAGAAACTTTTATTCCTGAAAGTACAATTCAATAGAAATGCAGCTTTGCGATTTGCTGCATAATAGATTATCGAACGATAGGGAGTGAAGTAGTCGAGCGTGTTGATCACTTCACTTATCTGGGGAGTCTCATCAGTGCTGACAGCCTGGTGACTGACGAAATCTCAGCGCGGATACAGAAAGCTCGATTTGCTTTTGCCGATTTACGCTGTTATTGGCGTAGGGGAGATATCCGTTCGCTGACCAATGGACGAGTGTACTGTGGAGCAGTCCGCTCCGTCCTACTATATGGATGCGAAACATGGCCGTTAAGAGTAGAAGATATTCGTAGGTTACTAGTATTCGATCACAGATGTCTTAGAAGCGTCGATCTTGTATCCTGAGACAACCGAGTAAACAATGCTATTGTCAAGAAACGGGTACAGGTTAGGATGGCGTATCAATAGATGAAGTATTGAAACTTAATCAGTTGAGGTGGTTGGGACATGTGTTGCGTATGCCTAACCACCGACTGCCTCGGCGAGAGATGATACCTGGTCTAGGAGTAGGCTGGATGAAGCCAGGGGCGGCCTGACCAAAACATGACAGAAATCCATGAAGTCACTGACTAGTGGACTGAGTCATGTTGGTAGATGTAGGCTACGTGGTTGGGGTCCGCGAGAAGATATTAACCGATGGTTAGAGACCTTGAACGACATGGCTCAAAATCGTTTGCGATGCCACAGGTGCATCTATTCGTTGTGCTCTGTCAAATCCTAATCTTCTGGATTCCTCAGCATCTCTACCTTTGTCTTTCTAACCTTATCTCACTGAATCATACTTGTTGAATAATATCTTCAAACCTTAGTCTTCTTCATTATCATTAATATCTCTACTATCTATATCACTATGGGATTTGATTTGACATTTGCGTCTCTGTGCTAATGTGGTATGGCAACATGAACTTATGTACATACGTTCTAAGTTCTACGTTGCAGCTGACTGACTGACTTGAGATTAGCGAACGCATTGGACTATTATCTCGCTTTAGTTTGATTAGCCGGACAGTATCCCAAGCCATTCACAAATCCAACAATTTGTATATGACCTATAAGTATTCAGATTTGCCACTTTATACAAATATTTCTGTGGTTAAAATAATGACTGAGACTAAGTTGTGACGCTTAACCGTAAGAAATCAAAATGATGAAATGTTGTTCATTTTCGGAAAAAAAATTATTAACTTCAGATTAAAAGAAATTAGCTTTCTGTTGAGGACGTTAGATCGCTTGATCGACGCTTTAATTTAGGATTTTATGCATCCAAGTATGGACTTGATCAGTTGACCTTGAGATTACAGTTCCCACTAGGAAACTCCTTGGTTGTGATTGGTTACTGTGCTATTTTAGTGATCTATTTTTGTGACTCTCTCAAGGACATTTCTATGATGTATAAATAAACGCGATTTGTGTGCTTGATTGCATTGTGCTCGTTGGGTGTTTGTAGAATATACTTTCTACGCCATATCAAGACTTTTTGGTTAGTCAACGGATCAGGGTTTAGTGAAGGAGAACACAGGTGAGGGCAACCGAATTGTATTTACCCGAAAATTACAGAGTTAATCAGTAAAATAGGAAAACCATATCGTAACCGTTAATTTGCAAATCTTCAATCCATCATCAGTCCATTGTCTGACATTTCACCACTGTTCATGCGTTTCATACAAATTCCATTGTGTTCCCACTCTTCTTACTTTCTTAATCTTCCCTCATCTTCTGCTGCCACCAGACATTACATTTACACTCACGTCATATACTACTACTTATAAGTAGTGCGCACCACAAGGGTAACTTACCAGGACGCTGGTTCATTGTCTGATTCTCGTTTTTATCGACAAAGATGAATCCGTTAATAGCATTCAAGCACAAGCATATAACACTGTCAATAAAAAGTTTCTTCAAAATTTCTCTTCATTTTTTTAAACATTATTTCTTTCTCAACCGATTATCATTGACTTTTTTTCTTCGTATACTTTAGTTTCTAAAATGTTCTCCTATCACCTTAATCGATTTAATGACTTATTGTTGGGCATCCGATGCAAATCGACGACCAACAGCTGAACAAATTGTACATTTAACTAATCCATCTACAATACAATTATTGTCATTATCTTCATTCAATGAAATCCCTATCAATCAGAATAATTTGTCAACTTGGAAATTATTCACCTGCAAAAATAATTGTTTCAATTATATTCAATCAGTTTATTCAATTGATGTTTTGAAAGTTGTTACTTGTGCTGTAATAGGTAAGTAGTAATGATGAATAGTGAATGACTGTTTACTTACTTACTTACTTATGCTTGTTACTCCCCCTTCAACGGAGCATAGGCTGCCGACTAGCATTCTACAACCTACTCTGTTCTGCGCTTTCTTTTCTGCGTTACTTCTAGTTACTCATGTCTCTCTCTGATTCCCCGTGAAACGTGTTCTTTGATTTGCCTCTTTTTATCTGACCTTAACGATTACGAGCGACGGCTTGCTGCGCAATACAGTTTCAGTGATTAACGCAATATGTGCCCGATATCCACTTCCATCGCTTTTTCCTGATTTCTTCCTCCACTGGAACCTGGTTTGTTCTCTCCTACAGTAAGTTGTTGCTGATGGTGTTTGGCCGACAGATCCGTAGTATTCTATGTAGATAACTGTTAAAAAACACTTTTTTCTTGTGAATGATGGCTTTCGTGGTTCTCTAAGTTTTCACCCGCATACAGTAGAATTGTATTGACATTTGTGTTGAACATTCTGACGTTGGTGTTGGTTGATAGTTGTTTTGAGTTCCAGATGTTCTTCAATTTTAGAAATGCTGCTTATCTGGGACTCCAAACAAATATCAATCAACACTAAAATCAAGATTTTCAATACAAATGTCAAGAAAGTTCTATGATATGAAGCGAAAACTTGGAGAACTACCAAAACCATCATCCAGAAGTTACAAGTATTTATGAACAGTTGTCTACGCAAAATACTTTGGATTCGTTGGACAGACACGATCAGCAACAACTTATTGAGGGAGAGAACAAACCAGATTCCAGCAGATTTGGAAATCAGGAAGAAGCGATAGAAGTGGATAGGACACACACTGCAAAAACCACATAACTGCATCACAAGACAAGCCCTCACATGGAACCTTCAAGGTAAAAGGAAAAGAGGAAGGCCAAGGAACACATTACGATGAGAAATAGAGAAAGACATGAGTAGAATGAACACAAATTGGACAGAGTTGGAAAGGGAATCCCAGGACAGAGTAGGTTGGAGAAAACTGGTGGGCAGCTTATGCTCCATGGGGGGTAACATGCTTAAGTAAGTAAGTAAGTAAGCCTATGATTTCCGATCCGCGCCTACACATCTACATCACATCAACGCCCATATATGTAAAGGTTCTTACATCTCTTATACAGATGATTACTTCATGATAATTTTTTAGTGAGTTCAATCTAATTTATGTTTTACTATTGTTTAAATTTGGTCAAATCTATCATGTTAATAAGAAGATTTAAACAAGCAAGAAAGCTGAATTGCTGAACGGACCATAGGTATAAGTACATTTTCCAATTAGATTTATGGAGATCATTGTCTTCACAGATTGAAATCATTGAAATCATCAATCATTGTTTGACCACTAATCGAAACCTGCAAGCACAAGACAGCTGTTTCGTCCAACGATGGGACCCTTCAGCAGTGCGCATCTACGACTCCTGCTACTCGCAGGATTCGAGGCCAGGACCGTCGGTCTGAAGCGCGAACGCCTAACCTCTAAAACTACTTGGCCGGCATCCTTCATATCGCAAACTAGCAAATATCTGAACTCAGTAGCCCAGTAAACAACGCATTAGAAGTTTAAAACGAAGAGCATTTAGCTCTGAGCTCCAGTGTTAACATCACCGCTGGCTTACAGACAAGATGCAGAGTAATATGCAAAATTATTAGGTCAGTTGATGAAATTTTGAATCATCATCGACTTATTTGGCTGACATATGATTTACGTAGACCTAATCGTTGCCTGCCTCGACGCATGATGTTTACTGGTGAAGTGGTATATCAGAAGAGAACATTAGTGGCGAACGAACCAATTTCCCGTTGAACTAAGTCCTTATTAGTGAGTTGATATTAGGATATTCATCTACTATCCTAAGAGAATTATTATTATTGGTCAATTCCTATTGGTTAATTCCTACTGGCCAATTTTATGGTCACATACTCCAGTGTTGTTTTTAATTGGTCGTTCTGACTATCAATGTCACTTCAAATGTTGTTTCCTATTAGTCGTCTTAACTGTCAATGTTACAGACTTCGATGCTGTTTCCTATTCGACCTAAATATATAAATACGCATTATCTGTAACGTCCTATGGACCTGTACCCCGACCCGAATCCCTAATTCGGGATTCTGACACTCTGTTGGACTCGAACCTCGTACTTTCTGAATGCTTGTAGAATACACGTTCTACTTCATATCAAGTCTTCTTCTTTTATTCAATGGGGGTTGAGAAACTCGCATTAGAGTAACATGTCATGTCTCCGGATCCTCAATACTCACTCTCGTTTTTCCCGACTAAGGTAAACTCGTAATAATGCTTCAAGCATATCAAAAATAACATGTTTACGTGCAATACGTACTAGTTGACTAACATTTATTTTTACTTCAATCATTTTTTTCTCTGCATCTGTTTTTTTCCCTCCTAAATTTCAGATAACAATTACAATTTATGGCTTGGCGGTTATAATCATCTTCATGAATCATTGCATAATCATAATCATAATCATAATCATAATAATAATACTAATAATAGTAGTGTAAAATCGATTAAATTCGGCTTATTATTTATTATCCCATTAGATAATTTCTCTACTAAAACATCCATATTATTAGCTTCTTGGCCAAAAATGTATATATTTAAACAATATTTGAAAAAATTTATTCATGACAATGATTTTTATACCAAGCTGTCTGATTGGCCAATTCATTTATCTCTATTGAATATTGATGATAATGGTGAAGCGGTGAAATCAAATAATAAAAATTCAATTGTTTCATCGTTATTAATAACTTGTTTAACATATTTTGGTGAATTACGAATATATAAGTAAGTAAAAATGTAATTAAGTAAAATATATTTGGTCAAAGTTATTTATTACTTACTTACACCTACGTCTGTTACTCCCAACCGAGGATAGGCTGCCGACCAAGCATCCTCCAACTTACTCTATCCTGGGCCTTCCTTTCCAGTTCAGTTCAATGTGTGTTCATTCTTCTCATGTCTGTCTCCATAACTCAGCATAATGTGTTCTTTGGTCTTCCTCGTTTCCTTTAATCTTGAGAATCTCAAGTAAAGGGTTTGTCTTGTGACACACTAGGGTGCTTTCCCCATTGTTTGTCCTATCCATCCATAGAATTTTTTCTCAACTTCTTCCATAACTGGAACTGAACTCGATTAGGCAAACATAGGAAGAACTGATAAGCTATTCTATCCTAGTATAAAATTCTACAGTGGTGCTCATCCATGACTCTGTTGAGGATCAGACCCTGAACACCTTTAGTCTCATACACAATTGCCTAACGTTTTGACAATGATGTAAATGTGTGACTTCAATTAATCATGATATTGTACAAGTGAGAGTCATGGCTGCGCTCTGTTAATGAATCTCGAACCAAGACAAAATGGCCATCCACTGCTTACAGCTTTCTAATGGCGGTCTAACAATGATCGACTGATGATATCAAAGTAACTTAATTGAAACTACAAAGCATTTTTGCATCATGGCTGACGTCAGTTTGTGATGAAACCTCTAAACCTTAAACTCGTAAATTTTAACCTTGAATACCTTAATATTGTTTACGAACAACATGTGAGATTATAAGGATCTTATTGTAAAGAGTACTACGAGAAGCTGAATAATCTATGTCTATCCACGCGAGCACTTTAATTGTCCTAAGAAATGTGTTTAAAGTTTCTTGCAATCAGCTGACAAAATGAAAAACACCGCCCTATTCAATGAATCATTCATTTTACGTTCTGTCAGTCAGTCAGTCAGTCAGTTTACAACGTAGAACTTCGTACGTACGTACGTACGTACATCAGTTCAAGTTGTCATACCACATTAGCACAGAGAGATATAATTGTCAATTCAAATCCCATAGTAGTAGAGATAGTAAAAGTATTAGAAGTAATCGGAGAGATTAGGGTTCAGTGATGTTATTCAAGAAGTTTAAGTCAGTACGATAAGTTTACAAAGAGAAAGATAGAGGTGATGATTAATTCAGGAGGTTAGAATTTCATAGAACACAAAGAGTAAATACACCTACGTCATTGCAAACGGTTTTTGAGCCATGTCACTCAGGGTCTCTAACCATCGATCACGATCATCTCGCGGACTCTAACCAGATAGTTGACACTTATCGACATGATTCAGTCCACTTGTCAGTAACTTCATCCATTTCTGCCGTGTTTTGTCATTGACAAGTGGACTTAGCCATGTCCGTAATGGTCGACTACCTGGTTGGGGTCCGCGAGATGATAATAATCGATGGTTAGATACCTTGAATGACATGGCTCAAAACCGTTTGCAATGGCGCCGGTGCATTTATTCTTTGTGTTCTTTCGAATGCTAATCTTCTGGATTCTTCAGCACCTCTAGTTTTGTATTTCTAAACTTATCTCACTGAATTATACTTCTTGAATAGTATCTTCTAATCCTAACCTCTCCGATTACTTCTGATACCTTTACTACCTCTACTACTATGGGATTTGAATTGGCAATTACATCTCTGTGCTGATGTGGTATGGCAACATGAACTGATGTACTTACGTACGAAGTTGTACGTTGCATCTGACTGACTGACCTGTTTGATGTTAAAAAAAACTCCTTGGTTTTTCTCTTCTTATCTTTTAGATCAAATATTCAAAATACTTCGAAGTATAGCTGTCTGTTAAAATTCAAACTATCACAACATTATTCCACATTGTATGGAAATTCTTTTCAACCAGTTCCTATCATACAACAAATTGGTTGTTGTATCATGCATCATTGTAAACAGAATAATAATTCAGATTGTCGCTCATCATCATCATCAACAGCAGGAGCAACAGCAGCAACATTATTTATCCTATGCTTATTAGATTCACAAATTTGTATTGTAAAAATTTGTATTTCTTCTAATTTGGCATTGAAATTTGAACGAGTTGTTTTAATGAGTGCAGAACAACAAAAACCTATATATGTAGGTGTTATTCTTCCGGAAATTTGGTAAGTTATTGAATACAAAAGAAGTAGAATGATAGTACTTTTGTTTAAATGTTATCAGTTCCTAAAAGAAAATGAGAAATTCTTTTACTGTATGTATTAAAGGCAATCCGATTAAACCGTTCAATAATGATGTGGTGTGAGCTACTTATAAGTAGTATATGACGTGAGTGTCAACGTAATGTCTGGCAGCAGAAGATGGGGGAAGATCAAGAAAGGAAGAGTTAGAAAACAATGGAATTTGTATGAAACGCATGAATAGTGACAATGGATTGTTGATGTTTTGCAACAGGAACAGTCCAGTTCGATATGATGAACTGATATTTTGCAAATGAACTATTTACGATATGGTTTTCCAATTTTACTGAGTAACTCTGTAATTTTCGATAAATACAATTCGGTTGCCCCACCTGTGTTCTCGTTCTCTACGATGAGAGTTGTTGGATTGAATTTAGACATTGTTAAATGTCGACATAGTGGTTTAGAGGGTTGATGTTTACATGTGTGGTTGAAGGTTTCGGCTTTGATTCCTATGTGTAGGGTCGCTGATGTACACTGTTGAGGTGTTTCACACTAGGACGAAACATCCATCCAGTGTTTCAAGGTTTGTACCACTGGTCTAACTCATATCTGTTGTTAGTTTTAATGAAATTCAATAATCTCCACTACTTCTTACTTACTTACTTACTTACTTACTTTCACATTTTATACCTAAAGGAGCATAGGCCACTGACCAGCATTCTCCGACCTACTCTCCTCTGAGTCTTCCTTTTCATTCTTTTTATGTCTGCCGCCAATTCTTGGTGCAATGTGTTCTTTGGCCTTGAGGATTCCAATTTAGGGTTTGCCTTGTGATACAGTTGAATGTCCTATCTACTTCCAGTACTTTTTCCCAATTTCTTCCTCAACCAGAATCTGATGTGTTCGCTCCACATTATTCCTTGCTGACGATGAGAAGTTAAACAGTTATTTTCTATAAAACAGTTCTGAATGCTTGATTCTCCTCGACATATAACATTAAACTGCATACGAAATTTTAATTCGTTTGTAAACTGGTGTAGGCAGTAAATACCAAAGGCAAATGGATGAGGTCGAGGAGTTAGAGATTAACATCGTTAGATGCCGTCCTAATGGTCCAGCGGTCAGGAGTTTGCACGCAATACTGAAGGTCCAGGAGTCGTGGATGCATGCTGCTGATGAGTCTCATGGCATGACGAAGCGGCCATCCAGTGCTTGTGGGTTTCCATCGGTGGTGGTCTAACAATGATCCTTTCATGATTCCAATATAAACCAACGATCCCCATTGTACTGTAATGCAAAATTAATGAGTAATTGTTTTTGCTGACTTTGAAACTTTTTACATTTGCATTTATCCACGGTCTGATCGCTCGAATATAAGACTTCCAAACTGTTACGCCTGCACGTAAACACGTCATTTTGATATGTTTACCTAGTCGGAAAACGAGAGCGAGGATCGATGATCGGGCAACACGACATGCTCCTCAAATCCGATTATCCCAACCCCCATAATGAGTAAAAATAAGAACACATGATATGAAGTAGAACCTGTATTCTACCAGCATCCATAAAGTTCGAGGTCCGAATCCAGAAGAGAATCAGGATCCCGGACTAGGGATACGGGACCGGGTCCTGGTCATAAAACGCTACAGATAATGCGTATTTATACATTTTGGTCGAATAGGAGACAGGATCGAAGTCTGTGACATTGACAGTTGGGACGACCAATAGGAAGTAACATTTGAAGTGACTTTGATAGTCAGGACAACCAATAAGAAACAACATTGGAGTACTAGACATTGATTTCTAGGATGACCATAAAATTGACCAGTAGGAATTAACCAATAGGAATTGACCAATAATTCTCTTGGGATGTTGAATGAATATTCTAACACAAACCTCATATTGACCCTGCTACTTTTAGACCCCCTTGGAATCTAGTAATCTTCATGTCACAGTTTTAATCTACTAACAATGTAGAGCACAGCTACCGTCTAACGTTACCGATAAAACTACCTTAACTCTTCACCATTAGAATCTGGAAGCACTGGACGGCCGTTTTGTCCTGATATGGGACTCCCCAGCAGTGCGCATCCACGACTCCTGCACATCGCGCAGGATTCGAACCCAGGACCTTCGGCGTTGTACGCGAACGCCTAACCTCTGGACCACTGAGCCGGTATCTAACGGTGTTAATGTCTAACTTCAATCAATACACGGAGTTGCGCAACCTCATACACAGTCTTCGGTAGTTACTGTCTACACCCGAACAGTGTTGAACTTCACTGCTCACGTCTTCCCACTAGAACTCGGAGAAGATTCCTCACGAAACTAGTCACTAGTGAGCACAGGTAATTTGCATTACGGGGTAGTGAAGATTGTTAAGTTACACATTTTTGAAACCATGAATCGATCAATGTTAGACCACCATTAGAACCTGGAATATATATATATATATATATACCTGCCTGAAAAGATTATTTTTCTGTAAGTATCACGATAATTTTGTTTGTTCAATTTTTTCTCCTAAAACTATTCTTTGAGTTCGTTAATCTCCTTTCCCTTTTTTTCCCCTCATATTTAGTGGTTCTCATGTTTGGCTTAGTCAAAATGACGGTAAATTACTATGTTATACATGGGATGATTCAGACTGTGGGATTCACTCCTCTTCCACCACCACCTCATCAACATCAACATCATCATCATCAAGTTGTTTAAAGCTTCATTCCTATTGGTTTGTTCCTTCATTGTTCAATTCAAAATCGCCTGTAGTCACTCATTTTTTGATTGGAAATTCAATAGGAACCGATAATCGTCAAGAATGTTTGTGCAGTGAAGTTGATCAAAGTGAACATGTTTGTGTTTGGACATATTTAGAACCAGGTAAGTGTCAACAGATTTTCTGTTGTGTTTGTCTAACATTATTGTCATCAAATGTCAAAGAATTGTTTTACGCCAGTCAGTCACTCACTGAATATTGGATCCTAGTTGTTCGAATGAATTGAGTTAGTAATATGGATGCGCTAGTTTAAATGATTTGATACCACAGTGTAATTTTCTGGTCTTTTGTAATCGGAAAAGAAAAATGGTATGAAATTATGAATTATGGTTTCATATTAGCTGATTTTGATCAGCAATGCTTAGCTGTAATCGTTGTTTCTCTGTGACTCAGCTGAATCAATAGAACAATGGATCTCCTTGATAAAGTAATCAGTATGAAACCACTCTTGATTTAGTTGTTGCTAGGATATTCATCATATATATTCAGAGAATTATTAGTCAGTTCCTATTAGTTAATTCCTACTGGTTAATTTCATGGTCGTCCTAGATATCAATGTCACTTGTTCTCATGTTATTTCTTATTGGTTGTCCTGACTATCAAAGTCACTTCAAATGTTACTTCCTATTGGTCGTCTTAACTGTCAATGTCACAGAATTCGATGCTGTTTCCTATTCGACCAAAATGTATAAATGCGCATTATCTGTAACGTTTTATGAGCAGGACCAGGACCAGGTCCCGGATCCCTAGTCAGGGATCCTGATTCTCTTCTGGATTCGGACCTCATACTTTCTGGATGCTTGTAGAATACAGGTTCTACTTCATATCATGTTTTCTTATTTTAACTAAATATGGGGGTTGTAATAATCGGATTTGAGTAACATGTCGTGTCATGGGATCCTCGCTCTCGTTTTCTGACTAGGTAAACTCGTCATAGTTCAAGTATCTCAAATTGGCGTGTTTAGGTGCAAGCATAACAGTTGTTGTTCCTACAATCTTCAAAGAATTAATGCTCTTTATGGGTAGGATTCAAACCCATGTCATATACTAGAGGCATCAGTTTTATGAATTCATTCAGTGCTAAATATTAAACACACATGATACTGATCACTGAGCGATCATTCATCTGATGAAATCTCGGCACGGATAAAGGAGACTTGACTGGCTTATGCGAACTTACGTCGTTTATGGAGTAGGTTGAGATATCCGTCTGCTAATCAATGGACGAGTCTACTGTGCAGCACTGCTCTCCGTCTTACTATGCGGATGTGACACAACTAAGAGTATGTAGTGAATGCTTACATGTCTAGTTCGCAGGGCTCATCCAACTTGTCTTTTGACCTTGTCAATCATTCGCTCATATTTTCGTCGCTTTTATTCGTGTGTATGCACGCCTGTCTCGCCTTTTACATGTCTGGCTTATTTTGTTTGTGTGACTAGAAATTCTTAGTCATGCTTCATTGAATGAAGTTGGCTCACTAGCCTTCTCCACTCCACTCCACATCGCTTTGCTTTGTTTGTTTGTATGCTTTTAATTATCATGTCTGCATGAACATTTGTCTGAAATAAATCCATCCATTGAGAATCCGCGTATTTGGCTCCTTATTACCACCGTCGTACAAACAGCGTTCGCCTGAGTATAGTATACGGAAACTAATGGAGAGGTTTATTTTATAGCATATTTAAATGATCATAAACATTAGGCAGCGGGCCACCAAAGTAGTGAGCCCTACACCGAAAATCTAATAGTGCAACAAGTAAAGGATATTCGTAGATTACTAGTATTTGATCATCGATGTCTTCAAAGCATTGCTCTTATATCCTGAGGCCATTGAGTAAGCAGCACCGATGTTGAGAAAAAGGCACTAAGTGAGGTTGGCAAATCAATTGATGAAATAGGGAATCTTGATCAGTTGAAGTGGTTAGGACATGTGTTATGTATGCCTAACCACCGAATACCTCAAAGAGCGATGTTTTGTGATGTAGGAGTTGGCTGGAAAAAAGTTAGGAGTGACCAAACGAAAACATGGCATAAATAGATCCATGAAGTCAGTGACAACCGGACTGAACCAATCTTAGTCGGTGTTGAACTATCAGGTTGGGGCTGGCACGACAATCTTAACCGATGGTTAGAGACTTTGAACGACATGACTCAAAACCGTTTGCACTGGCACAGGTGCATCCATTCTTTGTCTTCTCTCAGATTCTAATTTCCTGAATTCCGCAAGACAGTTTTTTTTCTCTTCTTAAATTTATTTCATTACATTGAGGACCATTTTTTTAGTCACTATCGAATAATGCATACTTGTGATTTACGTTGTTTAACGGTTGTTACGAATGTGTACGTGACCATATCATTTGATATGCTTGAAATATGACGAGTTTCCTTAGTCGGTGAATGAGAGCGAGGATCGATGATCCGGTGACACGACAGGTTGCTTTAATCCGAGCGTCCCAAACTTACAATGAGTAAAAGCAGAAGACTTGATATGAAGTAGAACATATATGCTAGGGATCCCAGACTAAGGATCCGGGCC